AATGCTTCAAAGAGTTCCATGCGATGTTTCGGGGTGACGGCTTTTATATCACGGGCACTTCTAAGTACTTTAGTGTCACTGCACTGAGAGGCAGGAATCAGCAACAGTGAAGACACAATGACTTCAAACAAAAGCAGGATATTTGCATTTTTTAAAATGTGAGGTACGACTGAAAGGTACAGTGTAACTAAGAAAATCAAGAATTACTGAAGATAAACTATGGCAGAGGGAAAACAGTCTTTTCCTTTGAAGGGAGAAGCTAATGTTCATGTTGCCTTTGCTTTATATCTGAGCAGTCTTTCTGTACAGGACTTAAAATGTTAAAATCTCATGATATCACAGTAACTTTGAAATATAAAAAACATTCCCCATGGGGCTTAGCGCCCAGCAGGACATCTTTGAGTGGCCAGTGGTCCTGATAGTTCACTTGCGTGATCTCAGTTTCCCGGGGTCCTTCTGCATTAGATTTTTTTGAGTAGATTCATCACTGAGGAGTTAAGAGTGTTCCAGCCTGGGCTGTAGACTCTGCTAACCTTAACTGTGATAAGTTAGCTAACCTTTGGGGGCCTCAGTTTCTTAATGTAAAAAAAAAATGAGGCTACTGGACAAGATCTTCTAGGTCCCTTCTGGATTTGGAATAGTCGTGCCTATAAAAAGTCTTTTGCCAGAAAATGTAGAAAAATATACTTAACCTATATACTGTGTTGCTTTTGTTTTAGAATTTACTATAAAATGTATCTTTATCTGTGTTTCAGTAGCCGACTAATGTTAAATATTGTGTTCAAAGCTAACTACTTCATTATGAGAAACTCACTGTTGCTAATAAAACAGCAGGGTGGAGTGATTCTTCTCAGGTGAGCAGCCCAGAAAGAGACAACGAAACCTTTACCAGTGGTGACTCTGGCCAAGGAGACTCCCGTAGCATGACCCCTGTGGATGTGCCCGCGACAAACGCAGCAGCCACCATACTGCCCGTCCACGTCTACCCCCTGCCTCAGCAGATGCGAGTTGCCTTCTCGGCAGCCAGAACCTCTAATCTCGCCCCTGGGACTTTAGACCAGCCTATTGTGTTTGATCTTCTTCTGAATAACCTGGGAGAAACGTTTGATCTTCAGCTTGGTAGATTTAATTGCCCGGTGAACGGCACTTACGTCTTCATCTTTCACATGCTGAAGTTGGCAGTGAATGTGCCGCTGTATGTCAACCTCATGAAGAACGAAGAGGTCTTGGTATCTGCCTACGCCAATGATGGTGCTCCAGACCACGAAACTGCTAGCAACCACGCGATCCTTCAGCTCTTCCAGGGGGACCAGATATGGCTGCGCTTGCACAGGGGAGCAATTTACGGAAGTAGTTGGAAATACTCGACCTTTTCAGGCTATCTTCTTTATCAGGATTGAAAATCAGTACAGAACTGACAATGAGAGGATGGTGTTCTGTCTAGTGGGGTTAATGTGAAACTACTCCTGCCCTTGTGACTGATTGGTTTAGGAAAACGTCTTCACTCCTAGAGGAAGGGGGAGGCCCTTACCTTTTTTTTCCCTCCCCAAGGTGAAAAATTTCAAGCTGAATGATAATTAGCACTAATCTGGCACTTTATAAATTGTGATGTAGCCTCGCTAGTCAAGCTGTGAATGTATATTGTTTGCACTTAATCCTTCACTGTATTAACGTTCAGCTTACTAAACTGACTGCCTCAAGTTCAGGCAAGTTATAATGCCTTGTTGTGCCTCAATAAAAAAGTTACCTGCACCCTGTGTCTTATTTGACTAAATAAACATTTTGTTGAGAGGTAAAATATTTAATTGTTAGTATTTATCACTAGCTCTCTCTTGAAAGGGTATTTATTCATGGGTTCATACTATTTTTTAGAGTAAGAAGCCATCTATTTAGAAGCCAGCTCCTTTTCTCTGATAGTACGTGTGTCCATTCATCACAAGAGTTCCTGTGTTTTTCCACTGGCCAAGGCACATGTTCTCCCGGAAGCTGTTTTGCTCTTGGGCATGCTGTCTCCTTTAGCTAACTGTCTTCAGGGACAGTTACAGGGACTGGCTACAGGGACAGTAATACAGGATACAACAGGAGACACACAGGCAGTACTACCGGTCCACCATCAGATGGAAAGCTTAGGTTTTCTAGTAGATTCTCAGTCTGAGTAGGCAGAGTGTTTAGTCGCCAAAGAGCATAGATCTGTAGTCAGGCTGTGATGGGCTTGAGCCCTGATATTGCCAGTTAGCAATTGTTTTGGGGCAAGTTATTTTACCTCTGAAAGCTCTGTGCTGTTTTTTTTTTTAAAGTCAATTTCCCTAAATGCAAAATGGGGATGATGGTAGATCAACCTTATAGGGCAGTTGTGAAGTATAACTAAGAATATATCTACATAAGAATATATCTATAACACAGTGCCTGGCACTTACACATTTAACAATGTTAGGTGCTATAATTGTGTTTTACCCACTTCAAAACCAGGATTGTATGTGTGTGTGTGTGTGTACTGTCCTATGTAGTATTGCAGCCACTGCTAGAGTTCAGTATTCTACGCACATATCTTCACCCTTCACAATTTAAGCATGTATGTTTCTCATTATGAGACCTTAATAAATATTGTATTAATTACTTTACAGAAGAGTGTTTAAAAGTAGGCATTTTGATTGCAATATTCTGTAATATATTCAGGGTTGGACAAGGGCAGTCTTACACAGCCACCAAGGCAAGTCACTTGCTGAGGCAGAAAATTTTTTGCTTTTCTCTTCCTCTGTTAACTCTGGGGTGTTAAGTAATCTCAGGAAGGTGATATAAGAGTGTTAAGTTATGGTTAATATTCTTGAGCTGGGTGTGCATTCAGCAGTTAAACCCTGGAGCCATGTTTGTTTACCTCTCCGTGGTGTTAAGTGTTAGTATAGTGTCCTCAAGATAGAAGATGTAATTCACTATACAATAGAACTTTTTAAACTCATAGGTACTTTATGGGCTAGGGATATTAGTATTTCAGTTAAACAGTTCATAGCTTTTATATCCAGAACATGAACTTAAAAAGTATACACAAAAGCAGAAATAGGATTAAATTATTGAGGTGAAAATTTGATGTTTAAGAAAGGTTGATCAAGTTCAGTGGGGCTCTTCTCAGCCCTTTTTTTAGCTATTATGTTTTCTGCTGCATTAGGGTCTTTAGCTTACCTAATATTTTGTACACAATATTTACTTAGAATATTGTGAGTGGCTCTTTATATTTTTTTAAGGAGAGTATTTTATGTGAAACACTGTTTTGCTCAGTGTAAAGGCAAGGAACTAGAAATTATTCTTAGACTTATGAGAATGAATGGACAAGATCTTCATTCTGAAGCATAACTTTTTGAAGATAGTTCTTTGGAAGCTTCTAGTAAAAGTCCGGGTGTCTACAGAAAGATGTACACATGCCTGGATTTTAGGTACATTTTCAAGAGGTGGAGTGGGGATCCACAGATACCAAAGCCCATTTATGGACCTTGTGTAAAGAACTTACATTTTATTGGGAATATATTGTAAATGACTGAAGTAGAAAACTCATTCCATATAATTACTATGTAGTCCCTGAGTATACAGATACTTAGTTGTCTTAAGAATAACTAAAAACTTTCAGTGGAGATAGGGGAGGTGAAGTAAGTTATTCTATTTACCAAATTCTCCCTTGAGTTTTTATCTTTCATTTTAAATCTTTGTCTTTGTTAAATGAATTTGCCCCCAAGAATTGTGAGCTGCCAACTCTTAACTCCGCCCAAATGATTTAGTAAGTAGGTGTTTTTTGAGGTTTGTTCACTTGTCTCCTGTACTAAATCTCTATCAACAGTCCTGTTTTTTAAAACGTTCTCTGCTCCATAAGACATGTTTTTACAGTGCTTTGACATCACATACTTTATTTTTATATTTTAATATTTCCTTTTTGAAAAGTTTAATTCCTTAGATTTAATGACGGATGTTGTAATGACTAGGTTGATAGTTTATGTATTTCATGGTTGTTGGCATCTCGGCCTACTTTTTCCATGTGAATTCCACTGTTCCGCTGCCATGTTCCTCGGATAGAGCTGGACAGTTAAATCATCATTTGCCTGGGGTAACACATGGAAGGGTTTCACCATGAAGCCCCAAATACTTTTCCCTAATGCTTGCATTTCACCTCCTAATTTACAGAGTACCCTCATCTACAGTCTTATTTGATCCTCACAATGGCGAGGTAGATTCTGTGCTAGGGGTGAGAAAATGGAGATTCTAGGAGGTTGACTTTTAAGGCCATTGGCAGAAGTGCCCAAGTTCAGACTTGGCTTTTTCAAGTCCCAGTGCAGTGTAGCACTTTCTACAGCACTTTTCTCCTCTTTAGCTCTCGGTGCTGTTGCTACCGTCTTCCCTGTTGCTGTTTTGCACACATGTACTTTCGGTGCACCACTCAGCTTGGCTCTGGCTAACTAAACACTGCCCGGGACAAACGGGACTCAGTTGAGGCTGACATAGTTTCCTCTTGGTCCCAGAGTCGAGGCAGGATGACTCTCCAGTGTGAAATGTGGAAAGCCTGCCAAAGAAACATTTTAAGAAATTTGAAAGTAACTATTCCTTCTTTAGTCCGAGTTAATACTACTCTCTCTATAGTCTGTCCCTACTCATTACCACTACCAATTGTAGTCTGTTTCAAGTTTCTGGCATCTGTTCAGAAACTTCCTAACCCCGTTATTTTAGCTTATTTATTACTGATTTTTGTTTTTGTTTTCAAATTCCTCTTTAACTGAGAGGTCCGTCACATTCTTTCAGAAGTGTCTACTCAGGGCTTTTGGATACAAGTGGCATTTTAAAGGAGACTGCTATGGACTGCTGTTAACAAAATACTAGAGATCTTTACAAGATGTGTGTATACATCCTTGCAGGTATTTCAGGGGCTGTGGTGTACAGCTCTGCCAATATGAATTGCAAATTTCACTGTATTCACATACAGATCATTGAACGTGGTGTAAAAGGTACGTTATTGAACTTACAGTTAGGGATGTGTGTGCACTGGGTTTCTTCCCACTTTCTTTTTACCATATGGACCAGATTCAAGCCGCAACAGCCAACAGGGAGGACAGCTGTGTGATATCCTGTCAGATGACTCAAACGCTGACTCTGAAAAGACCACAGTGGCACGGCTTGGAGTAAAACTTACGTTCTGGCCTGCAGTCAAGCCGGCCGATCACTCTCTGCTGTGTTTCTTGGGTGCCCATCACTTCTGTGGTGCCGACTAAACTGTACACACCGATGACTCACAGCTGTCTAACTCCATCCCTTCATCCCTTCCCCGCACCCCAGCCATAGCTTCCTGCCTTCTCACCAGCTCTTTTGAGTGCCAGATGTGAATTTACAGTTGTCCCTGGAAATTTCTAGCTGTGTAACCAGTAAGTACTTCCAGTTCAGCATGTGCAAAGGCGAACTAATCTTTCCTCCAAGAGCCCATACTTCCGTTTGCCTGGTTAATGATTTCCATAGGTATCAAAGCTTGAAACTCGAGAAGCACTCTTGGCTTTCTTTGTTCCTTTGTATATTGATTCAGTCACAAACTCCTCTTGATTCAACCTGTAAATGTCTCAAATCTGTCTTCTTTCTTCCTCCTGTGGATATCCTGTTGCAGACCCCTTATCTCATTTCATGTGCATTCCTTTATTAATTCAACTAGTACTTATTGATTGCCAGTTATGTGCCATGCATAGTGTGAGACTGTCTCATTCATCAAAGGTTGAATACAGTCTCTCTTAAATAGAATACAATGATAACAGTTAATAATATTATGGGCAATGTGCTTATCTCATTTAGTCTTCATAGCAGCTTCTGAAGTAGATGGGGAAACAGGCATAGAGAGGTGAGGCATGTACAGACCATGATTAACAAGACAGTATAGCTGGCTCAAATTCTACCTTAACCAGGGAGAGGGTATCAATAAATATAGACATCTTCTCATGTAAAGTAATAAAGAGGGGACTCAAATAGTGAGCCATATATAAATCAAACGTAAGTTATAGTTTATGGAAAGCTGTTTTAAAGCAGATGTGAGAGCAGAAGCAGAGATGCCTATGGGTTTTTCCCTCTTGTCTCAGACACTGCTGGTTTGACAGACTGTTATTAACTTGCCTTCATTGAAGTCTTTCCAAAGCATACAAAGTATACTCATGGGCACATCAGCTCTCTTCTTAATTATGTATTTCGTGGGTTAAGATTTTTATTTTGAGATAATCGTAGAGTCTCATGCAGTTGTAAGAAATAATATTGATGGATCCTGTGTACCCTTTATCCAATTTCTTTCATGGTAACATCTTGCAGAACTCTGGCACAATATCACAGCCAAGATACTGACAATGATATGTCAAGACAGCACATTTCCATCCCCACATGGGTTCCTCATGTCGCCCTTTTATATTAACACCCACTTCCTTCTTTAACCTTTCGCAACCACTCATATGCTCTTTCTGTAATTTGTTATTTTAAGAATGTTGTATTTAAAAAATTTATATAATGGAATCAGATAGCATGTGAGATTGGCTTTTTTTCACCCAGTCTAGTTCTCTGAAGATTCATCCTGGTTGACTGTATTGTTCGTTTTTATTGCTCAGCAGCATTCTACAGTACAGATGTGCCCAGTTTGTTCAAGTGGCTGTTTTCCAGAAAGGGTATACCATTTTAAACGACTGCCAACAAAATATGAGCGACTCAATTTCTTTGTCCTTGTCAGCATTTGGTGGTGTCACTGTTCTTTAAATCTGTTCTCTCCTTTTACGTGATTGGAATGACTGCTTCAAGTCTCTCTTTACTCCAAAACATCCTTAGTTCTGCCAGAGTTCAGTTTTAGATCTATGCCTTAAAGGATCTGGAAACATCCAGGTAGAAATGTAGTAGGCATTTGGATACATCTAGTTTAGAGAAAGAGATTTTGGTTGGAAGCAGTTTTCTGAGTTGTCCCTGTTGTGTTAATGGCTAAAGTTATATAAGTGGATGAAATGACTGAAGTAGAATGGGTGGAAGAGAAAGAGAAGACGGCTGAGGACAGACTCCTGTGAAGGACCTGTGTGTGAGAACTGGATGATCAGGTGAGTGCCAAAGGATTAGGAATATGCATATTCTTTAAGAGAAAACAAGATTTTTTTAAAAGCATATAACATAGTATCAGATACCAGAAAGATACATTTTAAGATGAGCACCAAAAATGCCTCTTGCAATTGGCATCTAAGGCATCCATGTTGACCTTGCTGGGCAGTGTCAGTGGGGGAAATGAGGTTAATTTCAGAAAAGGATATGTAGTCAGGAATGGATAAGCTAAGAACTGAATTGAGTGGTTGAGTTGGAAAACAGGTGTACAATTATTGAAGGAGAGAGAGATGGAAGAATAGGGACTAACTTGAAAAAAGGATATTGGAACTAAGATTTCAGAGGTCATGGAGTTTTAGAATATGAGGTTCAGGAGAGTGTGTTAATGAAATAGTGTGGAGATGAGAGGCAATATGGTTCATAACACCCTGTAGTGCTAAGGAGTTTGTATTTTGTCTTGAAATTGGTGGGAATTTATCAAGGAAGGGACACGACAGTATTGTCCTTTAAGAAAATGTGGAGAATGGATTAAAGAGGGGCAAAACTGGAAGCAGAGGCTAGTGCTAGGCACTTTTGCACCCAGCTGAGGGACGTTGTCCTTGGACAGTCCCTGCAGAGGAGAGAACTTTCAGGCAGAGCTAAATTTTCTGCCACATATTTTCTACCCTCTTGATCAAACCCAGTTAATTGAACCAATCTTTCTTAATTATCTGCTCCCAGAAAGATCACATCCCCTCAGATGTATTTTGCCCATAGCCATCATCTTTAACTAAATGTAATTAGGACGCTTCTCTGGGTTAACCTCAGGAAAAACTAGCTCTTTAATATTTTTATGCCATTGAAATTATGGGGCCAGATATGGCCACAATGGTGGAAACAATACAACCCTTTTGCCTTTCACTACTTTTCTGAGAAGGTCCTGAGCATTTTCAGACATCTTTAGGCATATAATTAGTTTCCCTCATCTCTGGATTTCCACACTGTAAATCTATTTTTATGTTTACATTTGTCTTGTCTATCAGATTGCAAGTTCCTTCGTAGTAACCTGCATCGAATTTATCTGTTATTAGGCGGAACCTAAATATCTCAGTCCTCTAGTTCAAAAGCATCCGTTTAACACATGTTCAGTGAATGAATGAATGAATGAATGAATGAATGACGGCTCCTACAGCCGGAGGTAACCCTAACCTTCTGTGGGCTAGAGATGATCTCAGGGTCCCAACAAGTAATAGTTGTGATGCGCAAGCAGTTCTCGGACTAACAAAAGTGCCAGTCCGCCCTTGGGTGTTTAGTTTGGAAGCAGCTCTAAAGAGACACTCAGCACTCCCCTGTGTTCCGCAGCTGGGAAGAGGCGGGAGGCTGTTTTCCGTGCAGCAGCATGGCGGCCGCCTGCCGGGCGCGGAGAGGAGGCCGCCAGCCCTTCCGTACAGAAGCATGGCGGCCGCCAGCGGGAGCGGCCGTGGCTTCGCGCCCTGGGGAAGAGGCCGCCGTAAAGGAAGGCCGCTTCCTCCTCTCACTTCTCCCGCCTCTCACCGGCTGTCGTGAAAGGGTGAATGGAGAGCGAGTTGCTGGGGGCAGGAAGGGAGGCCGGGGGGCGCGGAGTCAGGGTGGCGCAGCAAGCGGCTGCAGGTGGCGGCGGCGGCGGCGGGGGCCGCGGAGTGAGGTAGTGCGGACGCGGCGGGCGGGGCGCGGAGGCTCGCGGGACGGACTCACGCTGCAGCCTGGCCTACCGGCCCGGGGGCCGCGGAGCCCCCGCCGGGGAGATGGACCTCAACCGGATCATCCAGGCGCTGAAGGGCACCATCGACCCGAAGCTGCGGCTCGCGGCCGAGAGCGAGCTCAACCAGGTGAGGGGCGGCCCGCGGCGCCCCCAGCCCGCGCGGGACCCTGGCCCGGGCCGGCCTGCCCCGCCCCCGCCCGGCCCGGGGCCGCGCGCTCCGGGACCTTCGCCCGACAGCTGGCGCACCTGTTGGCCACCTCTGCGTGTTTCCGGGTCGTTTTCCCTCCGCAGAGCCGTGTGCGCAGCCCGCCGCGTGTGCAGAGAGCGGCTCCGGCGGCGTGGCTGGTGCTCTCAGGGTGGCGTTCAAGTACCGGACTCGGGGCCGCGATGGGAGCACGCGCCGAGGATCCCCGTCTGCCTCGGCTCCCCCCCAGCCCGGCCCCTGGGTGTTGGGCGGGAAGCCCTGCCCCCCGCCTGCGCGTGTGGGGTCGGCAGGACTGTTCCGACGCCGACCGGCGGGGTTTGTGCAGCGCCGGGGGTGCTGTCGGGGAAGGGCTCCGGTGCGGGGGGGGGGGGCGCCCGCGATGCTGGGAGGACACGTCGGGGAACCGCTTCTGGAGGGATTTCTTAGAAACGCCCAAGTGGACTCTTTGATAATTTTACTGATTCCGAACTCTAGCTTATTTTTGACTCCTCACCTGTAAGAATGCATCGTAGACCTCTCACTAAAAAGTACGAATTCAGGTCTACCTCCAGGATGGAGTGACAGCTGTTTGAGGTTGCGGCCGTCCTTAAAATGGGAAGGAATATACCCTCAATTAGTGGTTTTCTGAGCTTTGCCCAGAATGAGCAGCACAACCATCACGTGGGAACTTGCTGGAAATGCAAATTATGGGGCTTCACGCTAGACTTAAAGAATCAGAAGCTCGGGGGTGGGTCCCAGTTGTGTTTTGATTAGCTCGCTAACTGATTCTGCGATTCCTGACGTGTGAGAAAGACCGTCCTCAGGAAATGGTTCTGTGGGAGTTCACTAAGGTTTTCCCTGGTTGGAGTTGATTTTAAAGTTCAGATAGGCGTGGATTTTTGAAAGGGGTTAATTTAATGGGAAATCTGGGTGGAGTTTGGAGTAAGTGTGAATCCAGGATTCCCAAGAGATGAAAGAGAATGAAAACACTGACTCTGGAGTAAAGTTTGAATGAACTGGCGACCAAAGGGAGTATATTGGTGCCTCAAAAAAGAAAAGAACTGTCATTCAGAATGGAGAGCGTTAAAGTCACTATCTGTCCCGGGCTTTGCGAAGTAAAAGTCTCTCTGTTGATTGGCTAGAAGAAGAGTAATCCAGGGGATGGTTAGAAGGAACAAAGCCAAATCTGAACTTGGTCCACTAGTGTGAACAGGGGAGTTTGCTGCTTGTGACCCCTCTTCTCGTCAAGGAGGCCAGATGTTGTTTTGATAGTGTTGATAAGGGTCACATCTTTGATATCATGTTATACTTTCCTGCCTCTTGTTAGTTTACCCTCGCTTGATTTCTGGTTTCATCAGTGTATGAGTGCAGTTGACTTTAGAAGTGGAAAAGGTACGTGGGAAAGCCTGCAGAACTAGCACATTTAAGGCCTAATCCTGCTTTTTTCTTCATAGTACCTCATGGTATTTCAACCAAATCCGTTCCAGTCTCACTGTGTCCCCTATCCACCCAGCTTGTCACAGGCCACAATTTCCTCTGTAATTCTTAAAGTGGCTTATTGCTGTGCTGCTCATTTGGCACGTACATTTTATACACTATTTTGGATTGTAATAGGCTCTCACCAAGTATTTTTTTTTTTGAATTATCTGTAAGTAGAACAGTAAAGTGTAACGTCACATAATTTTACAGTAAAACGTGGTGATGGTGTTGGGTTTTGTTTGCTTACCCTTTACCACCAGCCTGCTGTTTGGTACATGGGTAATCCACTCTAAGTGATTAGTATCCAGCTCCTTCATTTGGTCTGGGTCCCCGCTCAGCAAATGTGCTCTGCATGGGAAATGGGGCTGGTTTACAGTGTGCTGGTCATTTGTCCATTGCTGCTCAAAAGAGTAGGCAGTTTCAAAACATAACAGCCTGAAAAAAAAAAAAAAAGAAACATAACAGCCTGCATTCCAGGGGATAAATTCTTATCTGGAACTATGCTTTTCTGTAGCCAACATATTTCTGTTACCAGCTCCTTGACTGCTATTTGTGACACTGTTTTTGTAGGAAATGAATTTTCAGTTTTATTTCAGGAAACTAAGAATCCAGTATACAATCGTTACGGTCTCTAGACCCCAAAGTTGCTTTGGCAGCAGTGCAGGCTCATCCAGCAAGGTGTCTTCTCTTCATAAATCATTCTTCATGTGGCCCCAATGGGGAAACAAATTTACTTTCATTGCTGAACTTTGGAATTCCTGCTTTTCCAGGTGTCTGTATTATTAAAAACCATTTTTACTACCCTTCAAGAGATGTTGCTTACATGACTCACATATTTATTGAGTTACATGCAAGCACTAATATAAGACTGCTCTCTTAGAGCTAGCATTCTGGTGGGGGATATGAACAAGTAAATAGTAAAATTTCAGGGCATAAGTGCTGTAGAGAATAAAGCTTGAAGTGTGCTGGGGTTTAGAAATAGGGTGGCCATTCCCTGAGGAATGACACTGAGCAGAGACCGAGATGTTGTAAAGGAGTGAGCCAGGCGGCCAGCCGGGAGAGGAACAGGGAAGACCAAGTGGATGGTAAGGGCTCTAAACTTGTCACGTTGGGGGACTACAAAGGTTAGCATAGTGGGAACAGTGAGGCAGAAAACGGAAAAACGTCAGGTCCTTTGCTTTAAATGAGTTCTCATAAAGTGCATCATTTAGCTATGCAACTAAGACTTTATCTGTCAGAAAACTTGACAGATAACAAAATAAATATCTTCCAGGAATCACTGAGAAATGTCATTATTTTTTTCTTAGAAACTCGAAGCCGAAGGTGGACAAAGAAAGTGGATACATATGTATGAGGAAAGTAGTATGAGAACATATCTGAATCTACCACCGCATGTTTTAGCTGGCCAGATCAACACAGATTGAATCAGGGCTGAAAGGAGAAGACAGAAAGTTGCAGCAGTTCTTTGAAATGGCAAACATTTGCAAAAAGAGGAGTTCCAAAATGCGCACAACGGCAACAGTGTTGTGAAATAAAAGTAGTCGCCAAGATACCTACTTTCAAATAGGCAGCATTTGATCTAAGTGGAAAGGTTATTTTGTACTAAAATGAATAAGAGTTTTAAAATAAGTAACTATATAGATTAGAATTTAGCGTTATAAAGATGTTTTACTCTTTGATTCACTGTAGCATTTTCCAATCTCTCAAAAGTTTTACACGAGTTATTTTATGATGATGTAAATGTAGAAGATAGGGCTAAATCTGTTTTGATTTTGACTATAAACTGCTGTTATAAGAAATCTTTTAACAACTACAATCCTGGTGGTTTCCATTGTGGATAAAGGAGAATACTTCATATACAACAGATTGAGGATTCTGAAATTTGTGCAGGTTGAAAAAGAAGGACAATGACAAGATAATTCAAAATTTTACTGATGGATATAGAAAGATTTGGCAAATACAACATTCTTGGATAGAATCAATATTTTAAAAGATGGCAATTTTCTCTAATTTTTTAAATACATGCTTAATAATGCTATTATAAATAAATGAATAGGAGAGGTGATAAATTAAAAAACTGAGTGGTATGCATAAACCAAGTAGTGTATTTAAAGGGATGCCACCATAGAGCCATGCTTCTGGGGGAAGGTAAGCTGAACAGAGTCTCTGCGTCATCCTCTGGCTTTAGCTTCAGTGAGAATTTATGAACCTTTCTGGGAAGGCCAGTGGGCAAGGCCAAGTGCCAGCTCGGGGCGGTGGCAGAGCTGTAACATGGTTCAGGTACTAGACGTCTGGAGGGCAGAAGGTCAGAAGCAATGGGCTGCTTTGTCTTTTTTTGCTTCTGAAATCACTAGCCTGGGAACCCTCCTACGCTGTTGGGAATGTAAATTGGTGCAGCCACTGTGGAAAGCAGTTTGGAGGTTCCTCAGAAAACAGAATAGAAATACCATACCACCCAGTAATTCCACTTCTAGGAATTTACCCAAAGAAAACAATATTTCTGATTCAGAAAGATATATGCACCCCTGTGTTTATTGCCGCATTGTTTACAATAGCCAAGACATGGAAGCAACCAAAATATCCATCAGGAGATGAATGGGTACAGAAGATGTGGTACATACACACAATGGAATGTTATTCAGCCATAAAAAAGAAAAGAAGTCCTGCCATTTGCAACAACATGGATGGACCTAGAGGGTATTATGCTCAGTGAAATAAGCCAGGTGGAGAAAGACAAATACCATATGATTTCACTTATATGTGGAATCTAAAAACAAAAAACAAAATGAACAAAACAGTAGTAGACCCCTAGACACTGGTGGTTACCATGGGGGGGGGGAGGGTTTCGAAGTGGGTGGGTGGGGAGGGTGAGGAGTATAAAGAGGCACAAAAGTTCTCAATCATAATATAAACTGGCCACAGGGATAGCAGTGCAGCATGGAGAATATAGTCATTGATTCTTTAACATCTTCCTATGGTGACAGATAGTGACTGCACTAGTGGGGGTGAGGATTTAGTTATATGGGTAACTAACTGTTGGACCACTGTGTTGTATACTTGAAACCAATATCAACTATACTTCAATTAAAAAAAAAACCACCACTGCCGAACTCAGGAGTAGGTCAAAGTAGAACATGCCTGTGGGGTGAAATAACCCAGGCAGCAGACACTTCATCAAAACAGGCTCAGCTGAACCTTGAGTTTAAAAGATGCTTCACCAGCAGAGAACAGCTGGTGACCACAGCTCTCAGCAGACATAGTCTCGGGAGGCCTACAGTTCCCGGCTGGGTGGGCTCCCCTCTTTAACGTAGGCACTGCTATTTAACATCAGCTTGCCCATCCTCCCATGTTGGAGCTCCTGTTTTTTGCAGCGTCTCCTGTTGTCAAAAACACTGTAAACAAAATTGAAGCACAAATTAGCAGAGAAGAAACGCTTGTAATGTATAGGTCAAAAGAAAGGTTGAGATTTAATATTCATAGATAGCTCTTAGACTTTATTAAGGGTGAAACAAATATTCCATTTACAAAAGGATAAAGGGAGTAAGGAATTTGTCGAAGGAACAAACAGCCAATAAACAGGAAAAAAAATTCAACCCAGTGGAAATGTGATTTAGAATATGAATAAGGCTTTAAAGCTTTAATGGAATGATAATGCTAATCTCTGTATTGGACAGACGACACAGAATTTTGCTGGGAGTGTAAATAGACACATTTACCCTGGAGAGGATTTTGACAATATATGTCCAAAAAACCATAAAAATGTTCATACTTTTTTATCTGTCAGTTTATTCAAAGTAAATTTTTTAAACTTGAAGTATTTTAGTAATCTTCATTTTAGCCTTGGAGAGTTTCTCAAACTTTTAAAGTTCTTTTTTCTGGACAATATTGTAATTAGTAACAGGTGCTAACATTTATATCGCCATATCTTATAAAGCATTTCTTTGTAATTTCAGTCCTACAAGATTATCAATTTTGCCCCCAGTTTACTTCGGATTATAGTCTCTGACCATGTGGAATTTCCAGTACGGCAGGCAGGTGAGTTGGTTTTCTATCTTTTATGAACTTATTTGTGGTAAAAGTAGGACCAGAGTTTTATTTTGATCCTAAATATCTGTGATTTCTTTAAAAATAGGATGCACGCATGAAGCATTTCTAATGGCTTAAAAACTCACTCTTTTCTATTTGCCTGAAAACTTAGTGGTGGCTACTGAGCTCTTAAATCTCCCCTAGCTTTTCCTTTCCGCCTCTCCCTTCCACCTCCTGATTCTGTCCCTCTGTAACTTTGTCATTTTTCCCTGTTAGCTTTCCCAGCTTCCCTAGCTTCATCTCCCTAATTTTTTATGATCCCTAGTAGCCTAGCCTTTGGCCCATTGCATAGACATTGAGCTCCACGCGTGCATCAGATCATGGGTAATGTGTTGCACAGATGTTCCTAACCACGTGATTGGGGGGCAGGACTTTTATTTTAAACCTGAAACTTATTTTTAGGTCTGTGGAACCATATGATAATTCCATGATGTTGCATATTGTTCCTCCTTTTTGCTTTTTCAGTGAGTTGGTCATTAGAGCCTAAAAGGTAAAAAAATGGAGAAAGCCTTGGAGTGTAATGGGGCCTGAAGAGACAGTGATTTCAAGATAAATGGGGGTAAAATGGCAATAGTTAATTAAAAAATATATATTTAAAAATACTTTTATTACACGTGATATATACTCATTGTAAATAATTTGGGCAACACAGAAAAATACAAAGAAGAAAGCAAAAAAATTACCCAATATTCCCACTCAGAAAGAACCATCATGAACAGGTGGACGTTAGTTTTGCATGTGTTCACGTAGAAGGATAGATGAACACTTGCGTAGAAAAAGGATTATACTCCATACTGATAAAAGTATTTAATTTTACTTGAACGTAGGAGAGAAAAAAGCAGGAACTATTTGCTTTGGGAAAATACAACAGTGTGTATAATTTCCTAAAAGATTCCTTTTTGGTTAAGATAAGAAAAACCTATGGGAAAACTTTCACGTTGGAATTACTTTTTACTTTAATTGGGTTTATAAAAACTTCTATGTGAGTTTTTTGAAAATGGAATGCTCAGTTGTCTAATCTTTGTTTTATAAAATAGGGCTGTTCTGAAACCACATTGTGCTAAATTGAACCTGTTTTAATAACCTAAGTATTTATCAAGCCATTGTGCAGTTCTTTTGAAGCTTTGTAGAAAGGGTACTTTTAAACATCTTAAAGCAATTTATTAAATTAATAATCTTTATATGACATATAAACATTACAAAAATACAAAATTAATACATTAGATTGCCCTTAATCTTTATACATTAAGATAGCTGCTGTGAAATTTGGTGAATGGTTCTCCATTTCTTTATTTCCTGTAAATATGCTGGTTTTAAAAAGTAACGAAAACCAGCTAATCCTATACATGCTTCCTTTTTTATTTTTTATAACTTTCTGTTTTTCCCCATTTAACCATGTTCCCTTGGGAGAGCTTTCCTTATCAGTGTATATACATATACTTCATTCTATAACTGCTCAGTATTTCTTTGTACTGAACTACCAGCTTATTTAAACAATTTGATATTGACGAACATTTCCTTTATTGTCCTTTTTTTGTTGTTATCAATAGACGCAATGCTAAAATAAGCATCTTTGGGCATGTATCTCTGGATACTTGTGGGAATACTTTTATAGAATAAATTATAAGAAATGGAAGTGCTAGGTCAATGGATATTAACCACATTAACATTTAGAATTTGGACTCTTATCACCAAGTTGCTTTGCTTACATTTTCTGTCAATACTGCAACAGAGTGTTGGATTCTCCATCTCCTCAACTCTGTGCAGCTTTGAATCTTGGTAACTTAGATAATCAAGTTTTGAAATAAAATGTAAATGGCATTTAAAGGCAATTTTTTTCCTCCATAATTTATGTAGATTTCAAATCTGTTAGCCACAGGACAGAGTTTATCTTGGTGGTTGATTATTTCTTAATTTTTTAGGACAATTTTCTATGTTAGAGCATCCATTTTATCATAGAGTCTGGAATACACTGTGCAAAATTCTACATTATAGCTATCCAAAATCTAAATGCCATTTATAAATCTGTCCTGTTTATTATTAAAATACCAAGAACCTTTTGGTGACACTCAGATAATTTATGATTTTAACATGGCATTTAAAAATGATGTGATCTTTGATTTTAAAAAATTGTATAGCTTCTATAAAGCTGTAAAAAGTTATGCAGATTTTAAGGGAAATACATAGTTCTGCAAAATATTCAGTTTTTGATTTTTGCTTGTGTGAAATTCTGAAATATCCTTGCTAACAGCAGGCAAGCTCATTAGTGAATGTCCTTTATTACCTTACTGTGAAGAAATAGGAAAGCAATGTAAACAATAGGAAAACAGTCAAAATAGCAAAACAAAATAATTTAGATGTTTGCTCTACTGTTTTCCTTTTGAGGTATTAATTGGTATAACACCATTATTAACATTATCATGTGATGGGCAGAGAAGGGAGCCTTTCTTAAATTTAGGATAATTACGCTCAGGAGTCTCTCAAGCCACTTTGTTTCCAGGCTTTTACTCCTTGCCTTTGAGGAGAAGAGACCCTGTCCTGTGAATAAACTTAGGTTCAGAGATGTACTTTCTTACGCGTTTTGGAGCTTGCCATGAGCAGAAGTGTAGTTTGAATTTAAAAGTGGTAGTTGAGAGGTACTATGTTAGACCTAAAGGAGTCATCGCTGGTGACTGATCATTTGAAAAATTACATGGTTTCTGTTTTCTGTAAGTTGCCTGCTTTTTTGTATGTATTTCTGAAAGATGGATTGGGAGAGAATAGAAACACTCACTTTATAGTTATTCACAGGTTATTGATTTGTTAAGGTTAACCTCAGTGGTCCAGAATATTGAACCTAGAAATAAACAGAAAGATGCCTCTGATCAGTCCAGAAACACTTCAAGAAGCTCTTCTTTAAAGGTCATGTACCTAATTTGTAGGAAGCTCATTGGCGTTTATTCAGAATCTATTTAATCTTGTTTTAAATATAATATACACACTTTGTTGCCTGTGTTCCTAGCCATTAGTAGATTAAAGTAATAACAAGGGAGAGAGAGCCTACCAAATTATGATGAAAAACAGAAAAACTTAGAAACAGCAACTCAAAAAGCATGGCATTCTGCTTCCCTGAGCTGCGAATGATGCTCTTTCCCCTTCCAGGGCTTGGAACCCAGCTGACCTGTGGCTCATTGTATTGAAAAAAGAGAGAAGTGTGTGTATGTTTTAGAAAGTTAATTTCAAATTTAAGATGCTTAAAATGGTTAGTGGATTTTGCAGAACAAAGTTTAATAATTTCTTTATGAACAGTTTAAGGAGATATTTATGTTTTGTTTCTTTGCTCTGGCAAATGGTTAGATAGATAATTGAACTCAATGATAAAAGGGAGGTTTTTACATTATTGATAGAATTTCAATTATCTTTGGTATTTTTCCTTCATTATCCTTAGTAGTAATCTATGATTATCCATAGGAGAAATTAATAATCTTTTTAAATTATTACATTAAGTTCTATTTTGCTTTAATTGCAGATTTATTTCAAAATTTGCAAATTAAATAGTGTGTCTTTTATCTAGGCCATATTGTATGATGCCCCATAATAAAAATATTTTTTACTTATGAAATTAACAGTATTTGTTGACTATAAGTACATGATTTTATCATGTTTGTATCTTTGCTATCTGAAGGTTGCTTTTTATTTTCAAGACTAGTTCTATAGGAATTAAAATGGTTTCGTGTGTAATATAGTTGATTTCTTTAAAAAAATTAATCATGAAATCAGTCTGAACTGCTGACAACTGGACCATATTTTTAGATTATTTATTCATTTTTTCAATAGTTTAAATTATTATTGTTAATCACTCTTACATAATATAATATTGCTGGGATAAATAATAATACTTAGTCCAGAGCCTGTGTGTTATAAATGAATAAATAAGACAAAAACCCAAACTAACACACACACACACACACTCTTTCCCCCAAATAATTTTTGATTTTATATATATATAAAAGGCAATCATAAGTAGAATTGTCCTTTTCAGACTTTTGTTGAATCAGAACTTATGAAAGAGGAGCATATAGGATGTCAAGTTCATATTATTAAATTTCTCTTGTATTATTGCCAGTGTAGAACATGATCTTGGTTTATTGTCTGTGGTGTAATGCTTTTACAAGCTGACTTAGTTTTATGTTAAAACTGGGATGAAGGGAGGGGTGGTTTGGGTAGGGGGAAAAAGGAGAAGAGAAACTTAAGGGAAGACAGTTAAAATGCTTTGTAGACCACGTCTCTTTATTCTTATATATGCATGTATATACACATGAACACACACACACATACATGTATATGACATTCCAAGTATTTATTTACATTCAGTGTTAGTTGAGATGGTTACAGCTAGCTAAAACAGCCTGTCAAAATCCTCTAACAGTATGTCAGCTTGTTTCTCTCAGAAGCGTTTCTTTAAATATTGAGTGGTTAAAAAGAAAGGAAACAAAATCATTGACTATGTAGTTTGATAGAAATAAACAGGTAAGATATTTCCTGGGATTTTTCCAAAGATACTTGAATGCTGATGTCCTTTTCCATATTATTATAGGTGGTAAGTATTTCAAAGGGATTAGACAAAAATTACCAATACTATCAAAGCATAGATATTGAAGGTGGTAGTGCAGGACAGGGGCTGGTGAAAGAGAATAGACAAGAAAAGCAGCCTGCATGAAGGACAGTAGAACTTCACTTGTCATCTCAGTATTAGACATTATGTGAATAGTGTGACTCTTAGGATCTCAAAGTGCATTGAGCAGGGCTTCACTTAGACAGTCTTGTTTTTAGCTAAGGATACATACTTGATTCCTAGGTTATTTTTCTGTCCTGAAACTCTGGAGCTTGATTTAATGATGTTTTTCTGCTTAGACTTGCTTTACTAGCTAAAGAGAAACTTTAAATTCTTACCCATTTTCCCTTCCCCTCTTGGCTATTTATAATGCTAAGATTTTCCATTTTTGCTGGGTGTCATGTTTAGCATTGAGGGGCTTAGCCTTTCATACTCTGTAAAGCTGAATTAAGGCCATCTTTTCAATACTGCAACAAGAGCATTTTTTTTTTCTCTAACTTAGCTGCCATTTACTTGAAGAACATGGTGACACAGTACTGGCCAGACCGAGAACCTCCCCCTGGAGAAGTAGTATTTCCATTCAACATTCACGAAAACGATCGCCAGCAAATACGCGATAACATTGTGGAAGGAATAATCCGGTCCCCGGATTTAGTCAGGTATGTTATACTGTGTTTATATGATTAGCGGAAGCACAAAATATGTGGATGAGGGAAGCTGGACTTATCAGCCTCAAGTTTGTTTTTTTTAAAGAGGTAAAGTGATGAAGATGGGCACTCAATATTGTTTTACTTATTTGCTTTGCATTTGTAATGCTTTGCCTCAGAATAAAAGATTTAGTTGCCCTAAGGTGCCACAAAAAAGAGTTAAGGCAAAAATCACACTTACTTCAGATTGTTGTACACATCCCTGCTCTGTAAATAGCCTATATTCTTAGTTATGATCTCTTGATTTATTTATTTATTTATTTTTTTAAGGAGAGCAAGGTACAGGCTTTCATTTAGAGATAAAGTGAAAGGACAGAGCTCCCGGCTCACGCCAGGAGGGGACAAGAGAGTCCGATCTCTTGATTTTTTATTGTCTGCTTTTCTTTTTATGATACAGGAAAATCAACTTCTGGGAGTTTTAGCGTACCATTTTTCTTAACACTTTACCTCTATGCATTTTTATGAACTGAGTATCTTTTCCTTTGCAGAAGACAGGATGGAGCGGGTAGAAACTGGAACTGTCTCTGATTTTTAAAATTCAGAGTAGATGCAGTGGTTCAGCACTGCCCATAGACCTTTCTGCAGTGATGTCATGGAACTGTACAGGCACACCCTCCCGTTTTTAGCCATATGGTGGACATTGCTGTTGAGTACTTGACGTGGCCAGTGTAACTGAAGAACTGAGTTTTTAATTTAATTTTGGTTAGTTTAAAGTGTGTACATGTAGCGAGTGGCCACCCCTGTTGGACAGCACAGCTGTAGAGTCATCAAAATTTTGTAGCCTTACAAAGGAGAAACAAATTCTTTTCAACATGAGCTAGTACTTAGATTTCATTTGAAAACGGAGGAGGAAAATAGATGAAGCTTTGGTAGGGGATTGACATTGTCTAATATCAAGCGATTGGATGTAACTTCATCCCTGAGAGTCTAATGCACATTATGGCATAAGGAGTAGAAAAGGAAGAGAAGGCGAGGGGAACCGTGAGGAAGGAGAACTCCGCTCTGTGCAGTTATTTTGTTAAGAGGAAGAAATAGGTGTATTGGTTAAAGAAAATCACCATTATTCTCACTGGTTGCCCCAGTGACAACCTGGCAGTGGCTCCCCTGTGGTGCCATCATGTATCCGCTTCTTGTCAAAATATGCACTTTCAGATGTCTCTGAATCTCGCAATGCTTCTAGATGGTGATGTATGAAAGGGTGACTGTTCATGGCCATCCTTAGATTCATTGGAATGAGAAAGGAAAGGGAGGGTCAACCTGAAGGTGAAATTTAAAAACTGGAAAACTTTGAGTTTTATTGTGCTCTTAATATGACCTATTTGTTGTTTAGGAACAGTTGCCGGTGGCACCAGAGGAGACCTTTATCTTTGTGATCCAGTTTCATTCTCTTGCACGTAGCTGTCCAGTTTTGCAAGCACCAGTTGTTGAAGAGGCTGTTGTTTCCCCATTGTATAACCATGGCTCCTTTATCATATGTTAATTGGCCATATTTCTGTGGGTTTATATCTGGGCTCTCTATTCTGTTCCATTGATCTATGGGTCTGTTCTTGTGCCAGTACCAAATTGTCTTGATTACTGTGGCTTTGTAGTAGAGCTTGAAGTCAGGGAGTGGAATCCCCCTGCTTTATTCTTCCTTCTCAGGATTCCTTTGGCTATTCGGGATCTTTTATGCTGTTGGTATTTTCATAGGGATTGCACTGAATCTCTAGATTGCTTTGGGCAGGATGACCATTTTGACAATATTAATTTTTCCTATCCATGAGCACCGGATGTATTGCCATTTATTTGTGTCTTCTTTAATTTCTCTCATGAGTGTCTTATAGTTTTCAGGGTATAGATCTTTTACCTCCTTGGTAAGGTTTATTCCTAGTTATTTTATTCTTTTAGATGCAATTGTAAATGGAATGGAAATTCCCTGATTTCCCTTTCTGCTAGTTCATTGTTAGTATGTAGGAATGCAACAGATTTCTGTGTATTAATTTTGTATCCTGCAACTTTGCTAAATCTGGTTATTAGTTCTAGTAGTTTTTGGGTGGATTCTTTATGATTTTTTTATGTACAATATCATGTCATCTGCAAACAGTGACAGTTTAACTTCTTCCTTACCAATCTGGGTGCCTTTTATTTCTTTGTGTTGTCTGATTGCCATGGCTAGGGCCTCCAGTACTATGTTGAGTAAAAGTGGGGAGAGTGGGCATCCTTGTCTTGTTCCTGATCTTAGTGGAAAAGCTTTCAGCTTCTCACTGTTAAGTATGATGTTGGCTGTGGGTTTGTTGTATATGGCCTTTATTATCTTATGTTGAGGTACTTGCCCTCTATTCCCATTTTATTGAGAGTTTTTATCGTGAATGGATGTTGAATTTTGGAAGACCTTTATCTTTTTTTTAAAATTTTTATTTATTTATTATTTATTATTTTATTTTGGTATCATCAATCTACAATTACATGAAGAACATTATGTTTACTAGGCTCCCCCCTTCACTAGATCCCCCCCACAAACCCCATTACAGTCACTGTCCATCAGCGTAGTAAGATGCTGCAGAATCCCTACTTGTCTTCTCTGTGTCGCACAGCCCTCCCCGTGCCCGCCACCAACACTATACATGCTAATTGGCTTCTTTTTCCCTACTCTTATCCCTCCCTTCCCGCCCATCCTCCCCAGTCCCTTTCCCTTTTGTAACTGTTAATCCATTCTTGGGTTCTGTGATTGTGCTGCTGTTTTGTTCATTCAGTATTTCTTTATTCTTATACTCCACATATGAGTGAAATCATTTGGTACTTGTCTCTCTCTGCCTGGCTTATTTCACTGAGCATAATACCCTCTAGCTCCATCCATGTTGCAATGGTAGGATTTGTTTTCTTCTTATGGCTGAATAATATTCCATTGTGTATATGTACCACATCGTCTTTTTCCATTCATCTGCTGATGGACACTTAGGTTGCTTCCATTTCTTGGCTATTGTAAATAGTGCTGTGATAAACATAGGGGTGCATCTGTCTTTTTCAAACTGGGCTGCTGCATTCTTAGGGTAAATTCCTAGAAAGGAAGACCTTTATCTTTATTGTGAAACAGTTCTTGGTGGCTTTGTTTCATTTATGTCCTGAAAGCTTAACTCTAATCACTCTTGAACAAATAGTCTCAAACTTTAAGAGTGTTACAGAGGAAGCTTTTCAAATGGATTTGGTAACATAAGGCAAAGACAGTATTTTGTTTGTGTCAGTGAATCCAAGGTATTGACTGTTCAACTGAACACACAGGTGAATTTTTTTTTTGACACTGTTGAGTCCTAGTTTAGCCAGGTTCACTTTCTCACCACTTGCAAATGACCATGTAAAGACATATTGATAGTTTGTAGAAGAGACCATTTTCGCTCATTTTCTTTCAATCACACTTACAGCTGGGATCCGACTGAGGAAACGATTACTCACCTAAGTGCTGTGACATCACATCTTTTATTATTCTGTGGTTTGATTAAAGAGATTTCTCTTTTTTCTGTTTTATGTATTTCTCATTGCTTTTTTCTTTGTTACTTTGGAAATAACTCTTAGCTTTCCTCTTCAGAAATTGCCAGCTAACGCTTGTTTCCTCTACTCAAAGTACAAAAATTAAGCTCTCAGGAGTACAGCCTACCGTGTCGGCTGTTAACTGATAACGATGACTCAAAGTTTTGGCTCACAGAGGTGCCTCCCCTTGTTGTGTCAGCCTCCGTTTTACTTATTTTGAACCACTTTTAGGCTAAGTTTGTCCAGTTAAAATGATATAATACCTTGTTTTGTTTTGTTTCTGCCTTAGAATATGATAACCAAAATACAAACTAACAACCTGGGAAATTTTGCAAAGCTGAGGTGGATTCACTGTCTTTTTTTTATTTTTTTAAATTTCTTATGAATTTGTTAAAAATCTTTTTCAAGGCTTTATTTAGGATAAGACAGTTTGAAAGGGTTCGTTCATTTTAGGAAATTACCCATTCTGTTTATTTTCAATAAGTCGAGCTATTGAGGAGGTTTTTCTTTATTGGACTGTTCTTTCCCCCACCCCAGATGGAGAGCTATGTAATGTAGGTCAGTAGGAGTTAGAGTGCTTTTATGTAACGTATTAGAGTTCTTAGAAACCTCATGTTTATAACTACTTGGCTTTTGTACTTTTTCCCCCACCTGGCAGAGTCCAGTTAACCATGTGTCTCCGTGCCATCATTAAATACGACTTCCCTGGTCACTGGCCTGTGGTAGTTGACAAGATAGACTACTACTTGCGGTCCCAGAGCAGTGGGAGCTGGCTTGGCAGTTTACTGTGTTTGTATCAACTGGTGAAGACCTACGAGTAAGTTGATTTCTTTTGGCTGCAGATACACCAGCCTTGTGTTACTTAGAATTAAATTGCTTGGAATTAATAGGGGGCTCTGCTCTGGGTGTTCTGCAGAATCAGGTTCATTGTGGGACATTTTGGGGTTAGCTCTGTTAAACATGTTCATTTATTACTGTTACTCAAAGAACCTTTAATCTGCTCATGTTCATCACTCATCTCCAAGGCAGTGATAAGGTAACCAGGGCTTCTCAGACCTATTTGTTAGTATCAGCGGGCCGTTTATTAGCAGCTTTTCTTGGAAACTCATGTAGAGGTACTTTAACAATTGTCTTCAAGTGAACACATTATTAGGTGAACCAAACATTTACCTTTTTGAATACAAGATAGAACATGTTAATGTTTCTTGGCTAATGACTTTCTTTTCTGTTAAATTTGTTTGAGAGGTGGGAGATGAGAGTCCCATTTAATAGCATTGTTTCTGCTTTCTAATAGGATTGCTGCTTGCACATGCGAAGTTCTGTAGTTTTCTATTTTAAAAACTAGTTCATATTCTAGGACTTTTAGAGGATGTTTTAGATTTGTAGCAAGTGAAGTGTTGTAAAACCGACTAAATTGATAAACCATTTTAACTTCTCAATTGAGGATAGTATAAGGAGAAATTCTCCCACCCGCACATCATTTATCATATAGTAGGAATGTTTACACATGATCAACTTGTATTTTATAGGAAGAATTGGGATGTGAAAAAGAGTAGTAGAAAAGTTCATTTAAGGAAGTTGTGAAATAATCTTGGATTCTTTTAAACTAGTTTGACACTTTCTAGAAAGATTTTGCCTAAAACAGGGATGTGCTCTTTCAAAGTTCCTTCCAAGTTTATTCTAACAATTCAAACAAAATGTAAGCCAATGGTTTGAAATGCTTTTGTTTTTTTAGCCTTATATGGTCAAAAAAATTTTTTTTCCATTCAATTTGTATAGTTTTTTTGTAGGGGGAGAAGTTATTTTTCTCTTTTTGTTTTTTGCTCATATAGATATAAGAAAGCAGAGGAAAGAGAGCCCCTTATAGGAGCCATGCAAGTATTTCTGCCTCGAATTCAGCAACAAATCATGCAGCTCCTTCCTGATTCCTCACATTATTCTGTTTTACTGCAGAAACAGATCCTGAAAATCTTTTATGCTCTTGTCCAGGTAAGTTTCCATTGCAGAAGACAAGTTTGAGGCCATGTATTTCTGCCTGACACATGGAAAGTGCTCAATAAGTGCCAGTTTTTATTAAACATTATTATATATGCTCACTTATACTTCTTACGAAAAAACTCTTGTGAGAGAAAAGGCTCACAGAAATTAACTTAATTATCTAAGGCTATCTGAGCGGCAGAGCTAAGATTCAGTGTCCATAGGCCTTTACTCCAGTGTCTCTACTGCCAGAGTCGTGAACTGCCCTAAAATCTGATTACTTGACTAATCTGTCCGTAGCATTCTGCCTGTAGATTAGGTAGGATCATAGGAGGGAAGGAAAAGAAGAGAGTCTGTCTTTTATTGGGAAATCATACTGATGGTTTCTTTGCATTTGAGCTAATTTAAAGCTAACAGAGAACACTCAGCACCTCAGTTTACTTCCTTTAAAATACTTCCATTTTCTTACCTGAAAGCTATAAAGAATATTAATATGGTAATCTAAAAACAGAGGAAGACAGAGATAGAATGTCTTAAATATAAAAATATTTAAAATTTAATCCTTGGGCAAATTATTTAGATCTGGGTGGAGGAAGAATAATTGTCAGTCTAAAGTGATAATGAATGAATTAACCTGTTACTTTTTAGTTAAATTAGTCACGACAAGAAGGTAGCTTTGTTGAGCAGGGAGCCCAGGTAAGCTGGTTTTGCTCCTGGCTTCATAGGTGACTGAAGTACTATGTACCATCTCCAAATATTTCACTTCAGTAAAGATTTATATTTTTAGCCTCATCTTTTAAACTCTTAATCGAGACAGTAAAGGTAGATTTTTTTTTTTTCCCCAGCTTGACCTTGTTTTGGGGAGAGGGAAGGGAGAAAGGCAAATCTGAGAAAACAGAAGAAATTAAGATACTAGGAAAATACATTCTCTCACCCTCTTTTTTTGAAGTAATAGGGAAGGAAGGTACATGGAGCCTCTGCTTTTTTATTGAAGCACTGTTTGTAAATTCTCAGGAGAATCATTTTTATGCTGAGGCAGTATTTTTCATTCATTGAGGTTCCTGCCATTACATTTGGTAATGGATTTATTCAGAGGCCAGACGACCTTGTTCAGTGGGGAAGCATAGCCAGGGATCAGGAAGTAAGACAGAGCCGATGGAATAATTCTAAAACCTCTACTTGATTTTCTAAAAGGACAAAATCTAAAATATTTTCTCTCAATATATATGTGCTAAAAACCTAAAAAAAAGACAATGAAAAGCCTCACCGTTTTTAACCTTCTTTGTAATCTATTATACGCTGTAAAGTAATATGCTCCTACTGGGAATCCTGGCAGCAAAAATGCAAAAGGCTTTAAGAGGCTCAGTACAGTGATAATATACATAAAAAGTGGCCATTTGGGAAAGGCAGAAAACTGTATATCTTGAAAAGTATGATATAATTACATTGGCTTTGCCCAAGTAGCATTTATTAAGTATTTATGTGTACAGGACACTTGGATGCTTCATATGCACTAAAGCACTCAGTTTGTCCAAAAGGGAGTTCCTCTCCAGTTCCCCCAGTCCTGAGCCTGCCCCTCCTGTTTCCGGTCTCAAGCCCAGTGCCTCCTGTGGCACTTAGAGTAAAGTGTGAACTTGTTCACATGGCCTGCTGAACCCTGCATCTTTCCCCTGGATCTTTCACCATTCTTACCTCTGCACTCGGCGCTCCAGCCATACTGAAATTCTTTCAGCTCGTGCCCTCTCTCACTTCTAAGCCTTTAAAATACTGTTTCTGCCTGGGCGCTCTCTTCCCCTTTATGCCCTGGCCAGTCTGTACTCTTTCTCCAGGTCTCTACTTGGACATCAGTTCTTCCGGAGAGCTGTCCCCGATGCTGCCAGGCTGGATGAGGTGGTCCTCCTGTGTGCCTTTATAGATACTGTATTGCTTTTATCCCTACTGTGTGTCATACCATATTGTAATGCCTTGCTTGTATGTGTTTTTTCCCCCAACTAGAGTGTAAGCTTTTTGAAGACAGAGACTCTTATCTTTCACTAACCATTGTTCCTTAGCATGTAGCAAATGTCTGAATGTAATGTAACTCACAGTGTAGTAGAGGGATCCACGGTATTACAGTACCTGTGGGATTATGTATAATAGAGTAGACTGTGGTGTTAGGCCACAGTGTAAAGGCAGGTAATTGAAGAAGTGGTTCCTGAATATTTCACGAGGTAAAGATTTTCATGAAAGTGGTTAAAGTGAGTTCTAGCCACAAAAAAAGATAACTTGTGATATGTGAGGTGATAAGAGGTGTTAACTAATCTTACTGTGGAATCTTTTTGCAGTAAATACGTGTATCAAACCATCATGTTGTTCACCTTAAACTTACACAATGTTATATGTCAATTATACCTCAATAAATCTGGGGGTAACCAGTGGTACAATGAAAAGTTTGACACACACAAGGGTAAATGGTAAAAGTCCCTTATCTAGAATCTCACGCTGAATAAATGAGGCCATTAATTTTTTTTTCATTTAAAAAGTTGCCCGAAGAACCATTCATGGCATGTACACTTCTAGATCTTTAAAAATTTAGCTTACACACACAGGCTTATTGATCTCTTTTAAGTTGAACCAAATGAACTTACTGTTTTCATCATTAAATGTTAGTCATATCATATATTTCAACATTCTGATACAGATGAAATTGCTGATTTTTTTTTTTTTTTTTTTTTTGTGGGGAGGAATTATTGTTTGATGCTGCTGTTCTTTTGTTTCCAGTACGCTTTGCCTCTTCAGCTGGTGAATGGCCAGACCATGACGGTGTGGATGGAGGTCTTCCGAACTATTATTGACAGGACTGTTCCTCCTGTAAGAAAGGGCTCTGGTCTTAGGAAAAACTGGGGACGCCTGGGTCTGGGGTATTCGCAGTAGACCAATGTATTATCCCAGCCAACTAGTTGGGAAAAAAACATAACTACTGTAATAAAAATAATGACCAATACGTATGCAGCTTTAGAAAGTTCAGATTACCAAAATTAGTAAAATAGTAACTATGATCCTACTACAGATGATAAAAACCATTTTTAAAACTTGGTATTATTCCTCTAGCCTTTTCTCTCTGTGTCTCTCCACAAACACATAAGAATGGTATATGGTAGGTACTGTTTTAGAATTTGTTTTTCATTTAAAATCTCTTGTAAGTGTTTTTTTATGATTATGGATGTTTTTGTACTCTGTCATTTTTGTTGAATGCTTCATTTGCTGAGTGTTTAGGTTGTTTTAGTTGTTTAGTGTTTTAACTATGTGGATGTAGTTAAATTTTTATGCACATACATGATTTTTTTTTTTTTTTTTGGATAAACTCCCAGAAGTGTTTAAGACTAACAGATCTTGTTGCAAATTGCTCTCCAGGAACATTGCCCTGGCATATTCTTTCATAAGCAGTGAGTGAGAATGTCTGTTACATTAAACTCTACATTTGCCAGCTTGACAGGTGAAAGACTGTGTCTCATTTTTATCTGTTGTAACAATGATCTATATTTTGCCTGTCAAATTAACCAAAATAACTACTTAAATTAACTAAAAGTATGTAAAATATTTTTAAGTCTAAGCTTGCCTTCAAATGTGCAATATCCTTATCCATATCTTGGGACAAATTATGTTCAGGTTTAACTGATGTACATAAATGTACATAAATACAAACAGAATTTAGTGAACAGTTCATTGAATTTTGATGAACATATACCTGTGTTTCTATCACCCAGATCAAGATATGGAGTTTTTCTGTCATTCCTGAGTTTTCTCAAGGGACATGGTGTTTTTTAATTTGTTTTCTACTTCTTCAGGCCTTTTGGAAATAAGGAGATAAGTATGAAAAACAACATTGGTTAGTTGAAATTCTCATTGCTGATTTAGTTCCTACCTGGAAATCTAAGAATTTGCATTTGTGTATGGCAATCTAAATTCATATTTAACATTGCTTAATCTACATCATGATTCATTCTGCCTTTGTTACTCACATAACCCCTTTTATTATGCAGAAGTTCAATCTGGGTGTTTCTGTCTTCCTAGGAGACTCTGCAAATCGATGAGGACGATAGGCCAGAACTAGTCTGGTGGAAGTGTAAGAAGTGGGCGCTGCACATCGTGACGCGTCTCTTTGAACGGTAATCGTGCTTATTAGATTCATGACCTTAAGGTCAGTGTCCCGGTGTGGGATGTAATGGACTGGATAGGTCCCTAGTACATGATATTTATCTTCAGTGCCACAGAGGGAAAAAGTCACCTGTTTTAAAGTAGCCTTCACTGTGGTCATTGACTGTGAGATTGTGATGATGTGGACCTTCTCTGGATCTTTCAATTCTTCTGTAAAAAAGAATGGAGAAACAACATCGTTTAGCTTATTTGAAATACCCAGGAGTTGTATAAAAAGGTGCTTCGCCACTCAGCTCCATAGGAAAGTTAGTCAGATTTAATTATAGAAATAATTTATTGGGAAAAGTAAGTCATAACATATTTTTATTTGTAATATTTCCCCTGTAGGAGCTCTTGGTTAAGTAGCTGGAAGTTTTTGTTTGAAATTTTAAGCATGGCCCAGAGTCTCAGTATAGCTCATGGTTTCATCTTGGGGCTTGGGAAAAAAGGGAAAGTATTAAATAGAATATAACTTTCAACAAGGGACTGTATTTAAACTAGTGAGCATGCTTTGTTTTTAAAATTAACAGTATTTAAACATTTTCTTTTCGTATTTTAAGATATGGAAGCCCAGGAAATGTCACGAAAGAATACTTTGAATTTTCTGAATTTTTTTTGAAAACCTATGCAGTGGGAATTCAGCAGGTAATAAGCTTTTTAAATTAAAGGATGGTTACTACTGAAAGTAAAGTCATTTCTTACTGGTGTACACGAGTCACCACTGTTAGATTGGGTTCTTCTGTTAACTCTCTCATCTCTTAGGAATTTCTTATGCTTTTTTTCTCTGAGCCTCTCCTCTTTCTTCTGAGCTTTTATATTAAGAGATTTGTGTAATATGAATTGATCTATTTCAAGAGGAGTTGAGCTCAGAAGTTAAGAGTTTCAGCTGAGAATTTATACATTTTTTTGTGGAAGTTTGGGGACCCTTCTATACAGTGAAAATTAGGAGTCTTTGAGAAATTGTCCAAGTTCATATTAATATTTAAAAGCTACAAAGGACAAGTGGGCATGAAGATTGGTTACTCTGTATTGCCATTTGAATCATATTTTCGTTTATATTTCAACAAGTAAAATTTAATAACCAATGAGCACTGGCTGTCGGGACTGTATTGAAGAAGCAAAGATGAAGTAAATGTCTTAAGCTTTCATCACATGGAGGGTATTTCTAGATTTTATAAATCTATGCATATTAGTTTTCTTTATTGTCAGTGATACAATAAATACTTCAACCTTGTCACTGTAGTTAAAATTATTCCTTTTATGGGTTATTTCTAAAAAGTACTTTGGGAACAATTCAGGAAAGCTATGGCTGTAATTTTTTCACATTATATTTTGTTGGCTCATGAGACAGTCTGTAGGGAAAATTAGTGAACAATGAATAAAATGAACTGTTTAGCAATTCAGTATGGGCACTAGGATAATCGGGAAGCTGGGCAGCTCTGTCTTCTTCCACAGCTGTTAAACCCATTAAGCATCCTAAAGTTGACGCCCTCTCAAAGTGTGTTCGGTAGTTTTTCTAGTGTCACAGAAATGCGTGTGTGTATATGCACACAAACATTTAAATTTATGCCACTGCATCCATATCTAATGTATTTGTACCTTGGTTATTTAAAGTATAAATTCCTAGTGTTTAAAAACAGCTTTCTTATGAGAAACTGTTCTTTCCTGTTGTGTCTCAACTCCCACCATCTCCACCTGTATGAGGCACAACTGTGTTAGAAAGAACCGTGTTCAGTAGTATCTCTTTTAGCCTGTATCACAGAAGGGGCATCTAGGTGATGGCAGCTTCTGAAAAATTGTGTAAATCTGAACTTTACATAACCTGAATTCATGTTGCAAATTTATAAATTCTGTACATGTTTTGCAAGGCCCTTTTTATTTATTCAGTAGTTCAGTTATAAACTTGCTATGTAGTGAGAGCTCTGGAGACCAGCAATTGGAGGAGTTGGGTTTGTAGTGCTGCTTCTGACGGAGGGTCCCTGGGACAGTCACAGCCACTTTGGGCATGAATTCTTCCTTATAAACAATCTTTTAAAAGAAAATTTTCAGTTTTGTGTTACGTTTACAAAGACTTTCCATGGTCTGAGATGATAATTCTTCCACATTTTCTTCTCTGAGTTCTATGCTTTCATTTTTTATTATTGTTAAAACAGTTCCCCATCTGGAATTTATTTTGATATGAATTTAGTTAGGGAGCAAGCTTAGTTTTCTATACAGAGGGCTAATCAGTTGTTCAAAAACTATTTTTTGGGTACCTTAGCATTTCTCTTCCAATTTGAAATGTACCTTTATAAGATATCAAAGTCTATGATGTCTCTTGCCGAATGGATGTTTCTAATAAAAATTAAAACAAAAATTTAAAAATTTTTTTTAAAACAGAAGTCTTTCCACAGCTGTTAAACTCACTAAGCAACCTAAAATTGCCCTCTTGAAGTGTGTTCGGTAGAGCTTTTTACTACAGTTTTTTGAAGAGCTAGTATATGAATAGAGCATAGACTTATTCTGAGTAGTTCCACAGGTTAAAAACAGGATAAGTGGCTAGAAATGACAGTGAGACACCCTTCAGTTCAATATAACGTGGGCCTATCTAATAAAACTGCCCAGGAGCTTTCTCACAATGTATTGATTTCCCTAAAAATAAGTTAATTTTTACCTCTACGGATATGGGTTTTATGTCATCCCTAAAATGCCCCTCGCCTTAAACTTAAAATTGTTTATATTCTCCTGTATTTTCTCTTCCTATTTTCCTACAGGTACTGCTAAAAATTTTAGATCAGTATAGACAGAAAGAGTACGTAGCCCCCCGTATTCTTCAGCAAGCATTCAACTATCTCAGCCAAGGAGTCGTTCATTCTGTGACATGGAAGCACATGAAGCCGCACATACAGGTTAGTGTCAGGGAGCAATGCTCCAAAATCATTCTCTGGTTAAATCAGGTTTTCTAGACAGAGGTAAGTATTACGAATCCTGTGTTTTGTGCTTAATGTATTTTTGTTTCCATTAACAATGTCAGATGAGTGCAGTCTTATAAGCGATATGAAAGGTTTAGAAATTCAAGTGTTTTAGGAGTTGGAAGACTCAGATTCAGTCGCTTTTGCTTGGAATCCCATTTAGGTTCAGTTTCTTCAGTCAGCTCATGTTTTTCTGCCCTTCTTATCTAAGGGTTGTGCTAGGATCAGATGAGTTATTTTGTGGGATAGCATTTTGAAAACAGTCACCAGGAGTGTTGAGTAAGGTAGTTGTTATTTTGCAGAAAATGAAGCCTGGTACATGGCCGCTTCCTTCTGTCAGGATGAGCAAATAAAGTTTTTATTTATCCTTTTAGGTTGTTGAGTTCTATAGCAGAAATTAAAGATTTCTGTTTTTATATCAATTGTTTTTACTTAAAAGTACTTGTTCAGTATTAAAGAACAAATGAGAATAAAAAATTACAGGTCATTAAGTAAATTCTTATTTGCATACAGATAATTTTAGGTAATTCAAAGATGTCAGGAATTTTTCCCCTCCCAAACTATGAATTCTTAAATTCTATAATCTCTTAAAATGGTATCTAAAAAGGAAAATAAATTATTTTGCTTTGGCTTTGTTATCCAGGATAGAATTTGTTCAGTGTTATTTTATTAAGGTCTCACAAATATAGTATCTTCTGTACTGTTTTCTGCAGTCATCTTAAGAATGTTTGCCTAATCCCTTTGATCAAATAGCGATCATTTCTTTGCAGTTAATATATCGATTTCATTTTATTTACTATTTTCCTGTAACCTAAGGGTGAATTTTTTTTTTCTCTTTGATGCCTTTGGCCTTATTTTTACATAGCTGTTATATAGGAATAAGAAAACTATGATCTTTAGGCTGAATTTTTTCTCTTAGAATTATTTAATTTGGAATAAGTGTTGAGATGATTCTGTTTTACATAGGTAAATGTTAGTCTTTAAATAGAGTATTAGTGGCAACGTACATAGAGGCCCTTGGGTGGAACATTTTTCCTCCTGAACCCCACGTTTGTACTGTGGGAAATTAGGTTTTCAAAAAATGTAAGAGGAAAGGCAAATTTTAATATTGCAGACACATTGACATTTAGGACCAAAATGGAAGTGTAAAAATGTTCACAATAGGAGAGATAATAGTAAGTATAAACTTGATTTGATATTTATTTTTCTATCTTAAAAAGTCAAGGTATGATTAATGGTGATTTGTTAGTAAAATTTTATTGTCCCTGCTACTGCTTCAAAGAATAGCATTTACATAATTTCTTTCTATGTACCTTGTATCAGTTGTTTAAAATATCTTATGCTTAACTCTTACCGGCTCTAGCTGATAACACCAGGCTCTAGCTTTCTTGTGTTCACCTTAGCCAGTGCAAGCTTAACAGAAAGGTCAATGTAACCATTTGGAAAACTAACATCGCAGAGGCTGTCAGTATTTTAAGTATTCCCCAAATCTGGATAGCATATACTCTTTTGCTGTTTTGTTTTTCTTCTTAGAATATCTCTGAAGATGTGATTTTTTCTGTGATGTGTTATAAAGACGAGGATGAAGAGCTGTGGCAAGAAGATCCATACGAGTATATAAGGATGAAATTTGGTAATCAAGATGATTTTATTTCTCATCAGTTCCTGGATGTGTAAAGTAATATAACTGAATTTATATTTTTAAGCAGATTTTATTGTTAAATTCCTGAAGTTCTGATTTGCATGATAAACACTATTCTCATGAGAGTTTGATGTTTTATTTGAACCAATGGGCTTTGGAGGCCTTTGGGTGTGGGAGATGAAAAGCCACTTTCTTCATTTCTTTCGGGTGCTGAAGCAGTCATGGAGCCAATTATAACTTTTTCTGTTGAGATGCTGATCTGTAATGATCACCCCTTTCTGTGCTGTCAGGATAACCATTTGTAGGTTGGGTTGGTCTTAGTCTGGGGCATCCTTTGGATTTCTGCATATTTTAGAAGCCCCCTTATTAGGGACTAAGTATTACCCTACAGTGGCCCCACTCTGTGGCTTAGGTCTGCGGGTGTCCTTATAGCTTGGGTCTTTCGGGAAGTTGTTGAACCATGTAGGTGGCCTGCATTCATTCTCTTTTATCCCCAGTTTGAATTAATTGCTTCATGGAATAGGCCCTTAATAGAGCAAAATGTTTGTGTACCTCTGTTTCTCCCACAGCTTAGCACTGTCCGAGGGTGGGGACTCTGTCTTATCTCTGCTTTATTTTGCATTCCCCATCCTTCCTACACCTCTGCATTCCTCTGCGAATAGTCTGCCTTCAGTAAGAGTTGAGACAAACAACGAATAAGCCTAGCACTGCCCAAGGCGTGCTGGAGGTGTGTGATAATGCAGTGCTGTCCCCTCGTTGGGCCTGGTGTCTCCAGCTCCCTGAGTCACGCCTGCTGGTATAGATGCTAGATTACTGGGCTGTGTTGTTTTTAAGCTTTGCATTGAGTATTATTTGATCGGTAATTGTGGAAGTGCCTCTTTTCTTGGAGACAATGGGCAGGAAAAGCATATGAGTAAGAAACAGTATTTACCATTTATCCCTCCAGTCTACCATTTCCTTTTGAAAATCATTACACATATGTATACTCTATTATTTCCCCTTCTTAATGCTTTTGTTTTCCTAGAAGCAGAATGATTAGCCCATCTGTCTTCTATAATCTTCAAGGCATTCTTTGAACGTTTAGCTTTTCTGTAATACCCTATGTTTTTGTGATGTGCAAGGTAAATAGTTAGCTTTCAGAAAGCTACCATTATTTTTCACTTATTCTTCATAGCAAATAAGATAGTATCTCAGTTTTTAGAAATGTAATAATTAAGAGCTGTGAGTGTTGATTGAAAACTTATATTAAAAACAGGCAATGATAATAGTGTTGGGAGGATTAAGTGGGATAATACACATGAACTAACTGCTTTAACTGCTTAGCATAGAATTCCAAATGCCTGTAAAATCGTAGTATAATGCCTGGTGCACAGTTAAGTACTTAATAAATGTTAGTTATTATTTTATATTTTGAGACAAAAACTTAGATTTTATTTTATTTTTATATTTAAATATGGACATACCAGATATTCTTCAGGTTTTCAGATTCTTCTGTAAGACTGCGTAATCAGAAATTTGTGAAAAATTTTCATGACATTAAGTGATATGTTTTAAACAGGCAAATATTTAATGCATGTGCATTGAATACCTGCTGAACCTGTCCATTGACAGAGCCAGGCATTGTCCTAGTAGTGCCTCCAGGGTCTCACACTTGGGGTTTCCTCTGTTTGGAGAGCCTTATCCTTGGGGGTCCATGGGGAGCTTTCTGCTTTGTTCACTCCATCTCCGTTTAAGTGTCACCTTACCAGAGAATTAGAGAGGCTTTCCCTGACGCCCCATTTAAACTAGCACCCCATTCTCTGTCACTCTCTTTCTCTTTACCCTGTTGTACATATGTTCTTAGCCTGACCTGTTGTGTGTGTGTGTGTGTGTGTAGGTGTATAAATGATCTGTGTCTTTCTCTCACCACGTAAGCTCCATGAGAACGCATTTGTTTTGATCTTTGAATCCTCAGAGCCTAAACCAGTGCCTGGCACATAGTAAGCACAAAGTAAATCTTTGTTGTATTTTGGTAGAGATAAAGTACTTTTCCTGTCCTCAGAAACAGATATGCCTAATATGTATTGTTTTCTTTAATATGCTTGTTTAAAAGCACAACCTAAACAGTTTGATAAATATTGTTGTGCAAGAGAATACTGGTTATATATCTTTAGCTTCAGCTTTTTTATGCTATAAACCAGTCTCATATATGGACCGTTTTATTTCTTAGTTTTGGAGTAGTGGTCAGTCAGGTTTAAAATCTATAATAAGTAATTACGTTTTTACTAACATGTTTTAACCTTTTAAAATCTTAGATATTTTTGAAGATTATGCTTCTCCCACCACTGCAGCCCAGGCTCTTTTATATATTGCTGCAAAGAAAAGAAAAGAGGTATCTGGTTATTCTCTTTAAGTTCAAAACTGACTATTGATTTGACACTCTAATATGCCCCTAGTATTTGAACAATTGTATTATTAGTTATACTCTATTGCTTTAAGAATATTTTTCTGTTCTAGTAAGGAAAAAGGGTTATTTTGTTAATTATAATTGCTTGATGAAACAATATAAAATGACTTAGTTTAAAAAATTTGTGCATTCATATTTAATATTATAGCAAGGCAGTGAAAGCTCATGTAGACTGAAATGGATTCTTCTGTTTCTTTAGGTGTTACCAAAAATGATGTCATTCTGTTATCAAATCCTAACAGACCCGAACTTTGACCCTAGGAAGAAAGATGGAGCCCTGCATGTGATTGGTTCCCTGGCTGATATTTTATTGAAGGTTAAGCTACTCAAAATTTAATTTACTTAATGAAACTGTGAAGTACAGGCAAATGAGAGCATATGAAAGTTACAGATAATTTGAAGCTGGTGACTACTTCTGTGGAGAGTTTACTGCAAATACCCTTCTTTCTATCACCTGCTTCTTTAATTAAAAAGAAAGTTTGACTTTCGTATTTGGCAGTTTTTCAGTATGGAATTCACTAGATGAGACAAAGAGAAGAAATGACTATTAGTGTTATTTCTACAAAAATCAAGCATGTCAAATTATGTTTAAGGTACTATTTCTGTCTTGTTTTAAAACATGGCAATATGTAGGTCAATTTTACAAAATTGCAAATAGGAGTATATGAAGTGTAAGCTGTAATAAACATACTTTATTAGAATGTGATTTCTACCTATGAAAAAGACATTGGTAAGTTGAAACAGTTTCTCTTCCCTAACAGAAGAGTTTGTTCAAGGACCAAATGGAGTTGCTGCTGCAGAATCATGTATTTCCATTGTTATTGTCTAACCTGGGATATCTTCGAGCTAGAGTAAGTTTTCTTTATTTCCATTTATCTATCTTAAGATCTTCATTTGTAAGGTAATTATTGAACTAAATGTTTTTGGATAAATTGACCTTTTACTACATAGTGAGACAAAATGAGGTCAATTAGAATGTCCTTATGATCCCCCAAGCTGAAAAAAGAACAAACTAGAAAATAAAGGGGTTTATGAGCTTCATTTCAGCTGTTCTCATTTTTTACCATAGCCTCACTTGCTGCATTCACAAAACATGCAGTGAGAGAGATGATACTAGAGCAATGGTACAACATAAATGTATAAACTGGTTAGTTTCCTGTGTCCAAAACAGCATGAAGTGCTAGTTTGGCTAAAAACTTGACTATGATTTCTAGTATATTAAGTAGATATACCTTAGAAAAATGGAGAAAATAATCTATGTAAACTTAATTATGTTCTAAGTGTATATTACTTCTAGAATTAATATTTTATGGAGAAATAAAAATATAACTTTAAGAGACTAGTATTTATCTTTATAACTAAATCAGCACAAAAAATGTTGGAAACATCATAGGTTAACAATGTCTTATACACTCTAAAGCATTTATAAATAGAAGCTAATAGTCACTGGAGAAGTATTCAGGTAAATGTAGGTTAGAGAAGCAGAGAGCACATACAGATTTTTATAGACAGGCTATGTGAACTGTAATTCTCTTGCTGAAGGTCTTTAGTAATTCAAATGAATTACTGTGGATTGAGCTTTATGTACATAGAAAATTTTTAGAAAGTAATAATATGATTCTGTGGTGTAAAAAGTTGGTAACCTATACATGGTTTAAAATTCCTTATACCATATCTGAATGAAAACGAGCCGTTTGCTAAGCCAGTTAGTATAAGGGAAAAGATTTCATTTGCCTGCATGAAGGCAGCAAATGAATGGCAAGCATGGGGTTATAGCAGTTTTTACATACAAATAATAAATTAGTTATGAATCATAATATTAAAAGCATAAACAGGACTTCTATTCTCGGAGATTGTCTTTTTTAATGAAAAGACTGGGAAAGCCAGAAGTTAGCAACTAAGGCTGATACGCTACCTTTGAAAACAGTGCTTGGTAATTAATGATATTTTACATAGTAGGATGTTATATGTGTGACATTATGACAGAATGTCATGATCCTAATAGTTCCCTGCTTACTTTCTTCTCGTAATGCAGTCCTGTTGGGTGCTTCATGCGTTCAGTTCTTTGAAATTCCATAATGAGCTGAACCTCAGGAACGCCCTTGAACTAGCCAAGAAGAGCCTGATTGAAGATAAGGAGATGCCTGTCAAGGTCGAAGCTGCGCTTGCTCTTCAGTCCTTAATTTCTAACCAGACACAAGGTAAAGCTGAAAATACCTTTTAGAAGGCGTATTTTCTTTGTTTGTGACATAGTCTTCACAAATAGTTCTATTGACTTTCTTCCCTAGTAAGGGTGATTCTCTAAGTCTGAAGGTTCAGGGTTTAGATTTCTGAGCTTTTGTCATTTATTCTTTCCCTCTTTAGGAATTCCTCCTGATTGTGATTTCCAGAAAAAGTTTAGATGGGGGAACAAGTTGATAACTGTTGGACACTCGGGTACCTGGGAATCCAGAGATCCGGGGCCGAGCTTCGATGGGGCTAGTAACTTGGCATGTGAACCGGGGCGAGGCACATGGTCTGTCAAGGCTTAGATTTCCATACATTTAGATTTCATGGGGCTTAGATTAGATGGTTTCAGGATTCTTTCAACTCCAGGATTCTATGGTTCTCCTGGTTCTGCAAATAGCAAGTAGTATTTCTGGTGAGTAGTAACGTAGATGCCTCATGTGTTTGTCTAGAAGAATATTCTGTTCAAAGTTTCGATAGACCTATGATCTGAGGGTTCAAGCTTCGCATATGAAGAACATAAACATAGTTTATTCTATTCAACAGTGTTTCAGTGGGAGGACTGAATATAGTATAAGGATATGTAGGGAGGCGGATAGGCAGAGACGGGGCGGGGCAGGGCATCAGGGACTGCGATTCCTTATCCTGTATCCCAGTACCACATCCATGTTCTGAAAGTTACGCTGATGACAAAGCACACGTGTAATTAGAATTTCTCAGCGGGGGCCATTGGCATTTTGGGCTGGACTGTTCTTTCCTGTGCAGACTGCTTATCCCTGTGTTACTCATGGGAAAGTTGATATATTGGTGATTATTTTGGTACAGCTTTGTAACTTACTAAAGGGCAAATGTCTGTCTAGAACCTATTATCTTGTGTCATTTCACTTTGTGACCAAGTTAATTCCTTGTACTACCTGTGAATGATTTGGTTTGTTTCATTGCTTTAGCTAAGGAATATATGAAGCCGCACGTGAGGCCTATTATGCAGGAGCTCTTGCACATTGTTAGAGAGACAGAAAATGATGATGTTACTAATGTTATCCAGAAGATGATATGTGAATACAGTCAAGAAGTAGCCTCAATTGCTGTTGATATGACCCAGCATTTGGTAAGACTGGGCAAAGTTTTATATTAGTTTGGTGTAAAAACTTTGAATGATCTAAATAAGTTAAATCTAATATTTGGAGTTAAGTTTTATATGTAACTGAAATATTAATATAAGAACATTTGCTCTAGACTTGATGATATGGGTGAGTGTTGAAACCACAATGTTCATGTGAAACCTTCATAAGATTGCATATCAGTGGCTCTTTAATAAAAAAAAAAATCATTTGCTCTGATAATTCTGAGAGTTGTTAGTTTCTATAGTTAATTAGACTTACTCTAAAAACATTAGGATCATCTCTTTTCATCTGTAGTATTCTGAGGTTTCATACTGACGTGCCTCGATGTGAGCCTCCTAAATTTTCATTTTCTGGGCTTTTAATCTAGAAACTCATTTACTTCAGTTCTGGGCAATTTTTTGTATTTCTTCTTTGATGAATTTCTCCCTGCCATTTTTTTCTGTTCTGTAGCTTTGATGTGAAATACTGGGCCAGGAGTGAGCTCTCTAATTTCCTTACCTTTTCTTGCCTGTCTTCCGCGTCTTCTTTTTGCTTCATTTTCTAGGTGATTCCTTGACTTTATCTTCTAAATCTATCAAGTCTTTCATTTGAATTTTATTGGATTTCAGTTTCCCTAGATTTGGGATTTATCTGTTTAATGACCACAAGTTAAATATTAGCTATCTGATTGTAATAGTTACTGTACATTCCTTACTCGTGACCAGCAAAAACACAAACGGCTCTGTTTAAAACATGACAGGTTCTATCCTTGATTCACTCAGCAAAATGTGTATAACTTAAAGATTGAGCAATGCTGATGTTGAGCTGTGTGACCCTGCCGTTGGCTGACTCAGTAGTGAGGGGCAGGTGTGATAGCGCTAACTGTTGAATATGTTTATGTTGTTTTCTTAGGCTGAGATATTTGGCAAAGTTCTGCAAAGCGATGAATATGAGGAGATTGAAGACAAAACTGTAATGGCCATGGGAATTTTACATACCATTGATACTGTCTTGACAGTTGTAGAAGATCATAAAGAGGTAGGATTTCTTTGTGTTTTATTGTATCATTATAGTAACATAAACTGAAATTTGTATTATCAATGGGCATGAATTTTAGCGTCTTGATATTTAAATTGTTACTTAGTTATGTTGCTAGATTTCAAAAATTACCTTTAAGTTTTAAAGAAAAATATTAAAATGATTGAGGGGGAAGCGCTACACATGGTTGTAAAGTGTTATGGGGAATCCCTTTGTGCCAAGCTGGCTTTAGTTATCACATCTGCTATGTGCCAGGCTAGGTGTTTGTGGAATGTCAAACTGAGTAAGATACGAGCTCTGTGTTACCAGAATCCGTAGTCTAGTCTGCTTGACAGAGTGGTAGCCAGTCAGTCACAGTGGCCAACATTAAATAATGGACCAAAATTCCAATGTAACAAGTATCTTGAGAATAGAAGGGAGGAACTTGAAGTACAATATTTTCTAACCTGAATTCCGGGACAGTACTTGGACAAGAATTTGTGCTGACAGTTACCAAGTGCTTTCATGTCCAGTAGGGGATAGAATCTCACTGGTGTCACCGTGAGATAGAGCAGATAATGGCAATGTCTTTTTATAGAAGTGGAAAATGAAGTTCCTGTAGTATCAGGAGACTTGTACATGGCCACAGAGTTTTGAGTTTGCAGTCAGATTATTCTGATAACGTATCAGTTTATCCCCACTTATACCCACTGCTGTCCTCCGCAAGCATCACGTAGCCTCTGCTTAACTCAAGTTAGGTTTGTGTTCATCACTCGTATGAGCACAAGTCGACTTGATTGGAAACTCTTGTTATGCACAGTGGGACTTAGGAAGCAGGTGTGGGGTCTGTAAATAGCACTCTTAAACCCTTGTTTATCCAATATTTTATCCAGTGTTTATCACATACCAATGGGAGATTACCAGAGTCTTAAAAAGGGTTCCTTATTCTCCCGGGCAGGCCTTTCTTTGCCTAACAGGTTTAACGTGAATTTTTATTTCCATATTCGTTATCTTATTTTATTTTTGTACTGTTCAAACTGCATGGACCTCTAGGGAACAGTGAGATGTTCCAAATGAAACTCCAAGTACACGTAAGGATAACTCGTTCACTTCATTTGTAGGGCTTGTATTTGCAGTTTGAAGGGACTTAGTTTTCCCACGTGTGTGTGGGAAGTACTAGATTGAGCAGCAGGATGAGTCTGGAAACAAAACAGCTTGTTATCTTTTTGTTTTAATTTTTTTAGTCTTGATATTAAGTTTATTTTAAATTTCAAATAAAGTTAAAGGAGCCATGGGAACTTACTGGATTATCAAAGGAGACGTGGGTTGAAATTGAGCACCAATCAGGTCCAGCTTCCTAACCTACAGGTGGAAAACTTGATTTTCGGCTACTTGGCTTTACGAAGGTCATAGATAATCAGAGCAAAACAAGGACTGGAATCTGGGTCTCCTCACTGCCTGTCCTATGATTTTGACCTTTGGCTTATTAAAAGCAAACTTTGAAAACAGCATTTCCTGTAGAGGAAGAAAATCACACATGTATGAATACGTGTACAAATACTTAATGTATAAAGAACAAAATTAGAAATGAAAAAAAAAACTAGATACTTAAGCATTTTTGTATCTTGTTTTGCTTAATGGTTTCAAATAATTTTTAAACTGGGAAATTTTGGACCATTTGAACTTTAAGACAGCAGTTTAAGCTGAATATGCAAAGAATACTCAAAAGTTGAAAGAAGATACTTAAATGGAAAATGTCATGAGTTTTTTTGCTTTAGCTTTCTGTAAGGATGCAGGGTATAATACAAATAACATGCAAAATGTATGTTGGTTGTTTACATTATTGGCAAGGCTTCCTGTCAACAGTAGGCCAGTAGTAAAGTTTCTAAGGAGTCAAAAATTATAAGCAGATTTTTGTGCAGGTGTCTGCACCCCTTACCCCTGCATTTTTCAAGGGTCAACTGTATTTTGTAAAAATATAGGTATCATTGATATGCAATTTTCTGAAGGTTTCACATGAACGGCATTATGGTTCTAACATCCACCCATATATCAAGTCCCCCCACCCCCACCCCATTGCAGTCACCGTCCATCAGCATAGTAACGTGCTGTAGAGTCACTGCTTGTCTTCTCTGTGCCATACTGCGTTCTCGGTGCCCCCCCTACATTATTTTTGTGTGTTAATCATAATGCCCCTCAATCCCCTTCGCCCTCCCCCACCCCTTCTGTTTTGTAACCCCTAGTCCCTTCTTGGAGTCTGGGAGTCTGCTGCTGCTTTGTTCCTTCAGTTTTGCTTTGCTGTTGTGCTCCACAAATGAGGGAAATCATTTGGCACTTGTCTTTCCACCCGTGACGAATGTAAATATTTACTTGTTTCGAAAAAATGTTGAAAAATTCAAAAGGCATCCAGTGAAATTTCAGCTTCCCACTCGATTCCGCAGTCAGCTCATTGCCCTCGGGGAGGCAGCTCCTTGACCAGGCTTTTTGCATCCTTCCAGAGGTTTTCCTGTTATAATATTGTAAAGCTGAGGGTGTATATTTTTCTTTTATGAAAACAATAGATTGCAGTTTTCATCTGCCATTTTTTTACTTAATATTTTGGTGATCCTTCCACATTAGTCAATAAAATTAGATATTTTTAAGAGTGGCATAACGACCCTTTGTATGATATGTCAGATTTATACAACCAGTCCTTCATTAATCACTGTAGTTTAACTGTCCCTTGTTAAGGGGACATTTTTTGTGACTAATCACAATCATGTCTGCAATGAATGACTTTTTACATGTCATTCTGCACATATAATCATAAGTCTAGAAGGCATATTCCTTGAAGTGGAATTGTGGGTCAGAGGATGTACGGATGAGGCAGGCGGAGGCTATTATTCACGCGGCCTTCATAGTATGTGCTGACTTCATAGTAAACCCCCCAGGCCACCGCACAGCAGGCCTCTTCCAGCCCCGTGCTTCCAGGTCAGTGTCAGTCTGAAGGGTGAGAAGCGTTGATCTTGCACTTAGAATTTGTACTCTTGTCATGTATTAGAAGGAACATCTCGTTATAAGCTTAAGCTCATTGGTATTTCTTTTTTATCAACTTTGCCTTCTGTTGATTTGATTTCATGTGAGGGGAATTTGATCTCTGTGATACCATTTGAAACCATTCAACTCAACTTTGCATTTGTCTTTGACTTTCCCCTGCCCTATGTAGAAATTTTTAATTTTTGCAAATCAAATGGTCCAATGTATTTATTTCTAGTTTCTGGTTTTGAGTTATTTCGCCTCTTCAGGGTCATACACGAAGTCTTTTTATTTCTTCTAGTATTTTTATGGAGTAAGTCTTCACATTGAAATCTTCGATACATTAGGAATTTACTTTGGTATAAAATACAAGGTGAGGAACTAACTTAATTTGCAAAGTTATCATTGATTTAATTCCCACTTCCATCATTAGTCTGTTTTTCAGATTATTCTTGCATTTTTCATTTTTCACAGGAAGTTTAGGATTAATTTGCCAATTTCTCCTCCCAAGAATAGTCCTATTGATATTTTTATTGGGATAATACTGAACTTCTAGATTAATATAAGGGTTGTGATGATGAATTTTAAACTAAATGTTTAAAATTTTTCTTTAGGTTATGCAGCAGTTAGAGTCTATCTGTCTACAAATCATTGATCTTGTTTTGCAGAAACATGTAATTGGTGAGTACAAAGGCAGAGGCAAAGGTAAATTGAGAATATTTTTTAATTTGATGAACTGAAAGTGCAGTATTTAGCTCTTCAAATTCAACAAGATGGACACTTTTGAGAAAGAAGCACTCATTCCCTTTAATTTTGGGATATAGTTTCTATTGTTAGATATCTGTATTTTCATTTAGAGATAAGCTTAATAAATCCAATTAAGAATTTTTGGTCTTGGAGTTTTTAAAGGACAGAATTAAAAATTTTACATGTTTAGGAAGAAGGAACTGGGATGAAGTTCAGGTGATTTGACATTAATCTGGGATTGGAAAATGTGAAATGATAGGCAGATGGCCTGTCAGAAGTGTGAAATCATTGTTCTGTTATCTGTCACAGTGTCTAACTTTTGAATAGAATCAGTAACTGATGTCGAATGTTACCAACTGATGGCAGTCTGTAGAGGGGCTACTTTTTTGTAGTATCCAAGCATTTGGGAGGTGCCAGACCCACGTCACGTGGGCAGGGGGGAGATGCAACCTGTGTAGCGTGCAGACAAAAGGTGGAAGCAAAGCATGTTAGTGCTTATGAGCAGTTGTCTCCAGACTTTGTATTATTCGTAACAGTAGTAAAAATAGAGCATGCACTGCTACTATATGTGAATAATATTTGAATATGTATTTATAGGCAATACACAGTATGCATATACATTTACATAGCTAAGAATAGAGGTGTAACGGATGAGATTGAATATATGTAAAGTGTTCCAGTACGTTCTGCTCCCGTCTCTGGATTATCTTGCGCTCAGTCTAGGGTGCTTCGTCCTTACTTTCGCATTGCTGTAAAGCCGTAGTTCTCAAACTCTGGTTTGGTCACAGAGATGCTGATAAGCGAAAAAAGAATATATTCACTGATGTCCTTACTCATGGAAGATTTTGTAACTGGAAATTCGCCATTTAGATTTAAAGAAATGTTGAGGAGGAAAACTCTGGAGGGCAAAGAGGAATAGCTTCTAGCAGCCTTCTGTCATCTACCTCTCCCAGCTGTTTGATTTGAGCAATTAGAACATCAGACCATTAAGAAAGGGAAAAGGGCCTGTTTTTGGGGTGCAGTGGGCAGAGGGGAAAGCTAGGGTTCCAATTATTTGTCTCCTCTCATACCCTATCCCTAGTCCTAAACAGGACCTCTCTTGTTTTTAGCTGTGATGCATGTAGTGTTAATGGCCCTTTTTGAAGCGATACGTGGCCATATGGGATCTTGGATTAAAATAAACCAAACCTGTTCTGGAAGATGTCGTGGGCAGAATCTGTTATTCTAGGACCCCTACCTCAGCAGCTTGACCACATTTATGTCCATAGTCCGGTTTCTTTCCATTGTCTCACTTTCCTTCCTTCCTTTGTCGATTTTCATTGCTAATTTAGTCATAAAAGTTCACTTAATATTAGAAGCTGGGCTTAGCTATTACAGCTTCACCTGCTTTATTTTACACAGGAAGTCCAAATTAGTAAAACCATGCCATTCTCACAGCCAGTCTTCTTGGTTGCAGACGTTCGAAATAACTTGTAGTCAGTGTAAGCCTGAGTGGAATTTAGTGGAAGGATATTTAGTAGTTCACGGAATCCAGGGGAAGCCAGTCAGGATTCTGCCACGGAAATGGTCTGCTTAGGAGGCCACTGCTGCCTTTGTGAAAACCAGGTCTCAGCCTGCCGTCCACTGCAGCCCAGACTCTAGCACAGCCACGAAACATCTGTAATAGCTCTGTGCCTTTTAGTTTCTCCCTCAAATCCCAGAGTCCTGGTTTTGAGCGTCTGAGTGGTCAGGTCGTGCATACATGCCATAGCTGTCAAGGTCGTGAAAAGAACTATCGGGCCCCTTTTCATGTTTAGGCTTTCAATGGGAAGAGGTATTTGCTGCCCTTCTCTCATCACCCAAACTTTATATTAAGATGATTTGTTTTTTCTCAAGTGATTGTCTCAAGTAACAAATTATTTCCCATTACCTGTGATTTCCATCTTATTTTACTTTCAATAAGGAAGGTATCTGTATTACTAGCTTTTGAATGCATTTTTTCTTTTTTTACTAGTGTCGTTGATATACAATCTTACAATGGTTTCAAATACACAGCACAGTGGTTCAGCATTCGTCCATATTATCAAGTCCTCAGCACCCCCAGTTCAGTCACTGTCTATTAACGTAGTAAGACGTTACAGAGTCATTGAATGAATGTATTAAGTTTTAAATAGCATTACAGAAAAAACTTTATTCAGGCTTCCAGGATAAATATTAGTTCATTTAGTAAGAGAAAACAAAAACCTTGAAGTTAAATTTTTTGCTCAGTGACATGGTAGGCATTATTTGAAATTTTTATATTGACATTTGTGCTTTTTGATTGTGGGCTTAGATATAATTTTTTTTTTTTGACAAATATATGTGCAAATACAAGAACATGCCCTTTGCAGTCTTACCTGTTATCGTGGGTATAATTGTCTTAAGGTAAATTTAAAAATACAGTATGCACTTAAAAGTTTTGTAAATTGAGAAAATATTGTTCAGTATATAGTTTGTAAAAGTATGTGAGACAGGAAGATATTTTGACTTAGCTTTAAGTAAGCTATTCAAAGAATATTAATTATTTGTCAGTTAGAAGTCCTGTGCTTGAAATATGGAGATCTGTTCCTTCTTGTATCCATTTCTAATATGATTTGATAAGTATAAACTATATCTTATATATTATGACATATAAAAGAAGTATTTTTTTCAGTATTTTAGGTAAGTTTGGCAAAAACAATTCTTGGCCTTGTCTTTTTGAGTTCAGGTGGGGTGCAGGTCTTGGTAAGAAAAGGAAGGTACAAATATTATGTAGCAGAAGATGTGAATACTGAGTAAGGGATTCTCAGAAAGTACGTTAGATACGGGAGGAACATGTGTGAGGATAGCTGAAATCCTCTCCTGGGTGGTGTTTGTGTTTAATTGTTGCTATTTGCTAGCATTCTAACCAGAGATATTCTTCTTTCTAGAATTCTATGAAGAAATTCTTTCACTGGCATATAGTTTAACCTGCCATGGCATTTCTCCTCAGATGTGGCAGCTTCTAGGTATATTATATGAGGTTTTTCAGCAGGATTCTTTCGAATACTTTACAGGTATGGCTGGGACCAAATAGTTTTGCTTTTCTGTGCCTAGATATTATTTCCTTTGAAACTCAACATAAAGACAAACAATATTCCAGTACTAATAAGAAAATAGTTTCCCTGTTGACTGAAGGGTGGTACACAGTAGTGTTTCTCAGCTCTAGGAATACAGACAGCAGGAGTGACACTGTTATTCCCTCTTGTAACTTCGTTTGCGACCAGTGCGTATGTCCATACATTAATTAAGTGTTTTCTGAATACTGACTGTATTCCAAGCAGCGTTCTAAGCTCCGCAAGGTAGCAGTGAACAAAATAATGCACGCTCTTCTGGCGCTTGGATTCTAGTTGCGGGGAGGAGGGAAGCCGGGGAAGACGCGGACAAGCAGGAAAATACACGGTACGGCAGAAGGTGATGAGGGCTGTGGAGAAAAAGAAGGAAATTCAGAACAACGCTGTCATAAACGAGTGTTTTAATTTTCTCATTTTCCTCATCTACAAAAAGGGCAGATTTATCACTTGTGTTTCTAGCAATTTGTGGTTATAAGGGAAGTAATGTGTGGGTGCCATAGAAATGTGGTTTCAGTGGGAAAAATTTATTTCTACTCCTGTTACTCAAGTGTCATTGGGTTTTTAAATTTTTTTTCCAGACATGATGCCTCTCCTGCATAATTATGTGACAATAGACACAAATACTTTACTTTCAAATCCAAAGCATTTAGAAATACTTTTTACAATGTGTAGAAAGGTAAGCATGTCCTGGTCAATTGTTATAGTGGTGCTTATAATATTTGTTTTACTTCAAGATATTTTTCACTTTGTTTCCTATTACATTTATTTCTGTATTGTCTTCATCAACATATGTTTGTCATTTTGTATTTTCAAATGGAGCTTGGAATCTTAACTTGAAAATTTCGTATTGTGTGTCATGTTTAAGACTGTCCGCCACTTTTGTCCTGAGTCACATAGGTATTTGAACTCAGGTAATCTGGCTCCAGAGCCCATTTTTTAAATTACTGAAATATATTTAGTTTCTCCTCCTTTTTTTGGCGGGTAGAGGGTAGGGGAGCCTGAAGTCAACAAATAGAAAAATCAAGTAAATGCGATTTTGGGAAAAGTGATTTTTTTCTTCCTGTATCATACAACCCCATGATGTAAGTCTATTCTTATACTCCTTTTATAGGTGGGAACAGTGAGACAAAGAGGTTAAATAGTTTTTCTAAAAGCACAGATAGTGAGTGGCAGAGCTGGAATGTTAACCAAGGCATTCTGTTTCCAGAACCCATTCGCATTAGAATCTAGATCTACATACTCTATCTAGAGGTAGAATTTTAAATTTGTGTAAATATGGTTGATTCTTGGATTTGCCTTCTACCTGCTTACGATTCAGCTCACTGATCCATCTGTTTCCCAGGTTAGCTTCCAAAATTTTATAGCTGTTTCTTTTTTCCTTTTCTTTGTGTTTGTGGATGTATGCCTCTAAAATCTCTTTACTATCATTGTAATCGCTTGTGGGGAAGGAATAAAATTAAATGAGAATGTTCAATATGTCCTCTTTATCTGGAAGTTCTTTTTAATTTAGTGTTCCTAAGTTGTACTTGTCTAGGAAATTATACAATTTAAGTTTTCAAATATATAGTATTCTCTTATTATTATTCCTCCACAGTATTCTCTTATTTTTAATCTCTCCTTTATCTGCACTTACGTCTGCTTTCCAGTAATTTTGTAAAATTTAACTTCTTCACATTCCAAAAATAATTTTGATAAAAGTTGTCTACTCCATTAAGTCTTCTTTTCACTGATTCTGTTTTTTGTTTCTATTACCTCTTTTTGTCTATATTTCTAATTTTCTGTTTTTATTCTTTAGGTTAAGTGTGTTCTTTTTCTTATGTCTTAACTCTTAGTAATTTTTCCATATTTCTTAATTTCAAATATAGAAATTAAGTAATTTCAAATAACTCAGTGGATCTCTCTTTTGGGAACCTTATTATAAGGCAACCAAATTCCAAATTTTATGTATGAACATTGCATTATAGATTCATTTATAGTAGTGAAAATACAAAATGGACAATATTGAAACAGTCTGGTAAACTCTGTTATATTTGTCTACTGTGATATTGTATGTCCTAAATGGTTATAACCTTCCTGGGAAATATTTCTAGTTACAAAATTCATGTGAGGAAATTAAAAGATGTGTAATACTAAATATGCTTATTATGAAAAAGTGGGTGCATATGGACAAGAATTCAAAAGGAATAGAGACGTGTAAGGTTTATTCATTGTTTAAAAAGGTTATTTTATTTTATTTTGATTTTCTTTTGTTTTTAAAGGGAAGCTTTATTTATCTAGACAGTTAATTTAATAGCCTACTTTACTAACATAGAGTTAAATTATTCTTACAAGGAATTAGACTAGATAAAGGCAATAGATGGACTTTGTTGTGACCTTCCCTCTTTGTGTTGGCAAGGTAAGCTCACAGAGCAAGCAAAGCTAGGATTCTTATGGCTGAATTTTTATGTGATATTTGCTTCACGGGGACTTGATTAAATTCTGTGCAGTGGCGCTCACTGCCGAGCTCAGTTGTGATTATTGCAGGTACTGTGTGGAGATGCGGGAGAAGATGCAGAATGTCATGCAGCCAAACTTCTTGAGGTCATCATTCTTCAGTGCAAAGGAAAAGGAATTGATCAGGTAACATAGTTACGGAAAACTTCATGCTTGATGTTTATATTCAAAATTTACATGCCCGATGAGTATTTTTAAAATATTATGACGGAAAATTAAAAAGATAGTCTATAGTTTATGCTTACTGTTGCAAATCCCATTTAAATGACAAATACCTGCGCAATTTGAAAACTGCACCTTGCATTCTCCCTGAGAAAGAGATGCACAGAAAAATATGTAATAACTTAAGGGACTATCAAGCAAATCATGAAAGAGAAAAATGTGTAAATGCTATTCAAATGGATTGCCAGAGGTTTGCAGTTTCTCTTTGTTTATGTTTTTGTTGTTGAAATAACTCCCATCTGGGTATTTTTTAACTAGAAATAAAGAATACTGTGAAAAAAAAAAAGCAGTTTGTCTTCACAACTTGAAAAGTAGTATAAATTTTCAGTAAGATTAATTCAATCTTTGATGCAATTAATTCAGTGTGTGGTATGATACTCAATTACTGAGAAGAGTGGAAGTATTCAAGTTGTGAAATTATCTCTTTTTTCTTTCAGTTCTGTAATGTTTGCTCCTTGTAATTTTTTTGTAATAGCTTTGTAGAGATATAGGTCATATATCATTCAGTTTACCCACTTAGAGTGTATAGTTCAGTATTTTTTAATATATACGCAGAATTGTGCAGCTATTACCACAATCAATTCTAGAACATTTTATCACTATCCCCGCCACACTCTGTACCTGTTAGTAGTCACTTCTTTTCCCTGAACATACCCTTCAGCCCTGGGCAACCATTCTATTTTCTTTCTCTATAGATTTGCCTATTCTAGACATTTCATATCAGTGGAATCGTGTGGTCCTTTGTGGATGACTTCTCTCACTTAGCATAATGCTTTAAGGTGTCATTCATGTAGTACAGCATGAACCAGTACTTCATTTCTTTTTATTGCCAAATACTCCATTGTATGGATATATCCCATTTATTTTAGTTGCTCATCCATTGATGGACGTTTGGATCATTTCCACTCTTTGGCTATTATGAATAATACTGTTATGAACACTTGTATGCAGATTTTTGCGTGAACACATTTTCATTTCTCTCGGTATATATTGAGTGGTAATTCCATGTTCCTCCATTTGAGGACCTGCTGAACTGTTCTGTAAAGCAGCTGCACTGCTTCTCATTCCTGCCGGCCATGCATGAAGGTTCAGGTTTCTCTACACTCACTAACACGCTCTTTATTTACCTTTTTGTTAGAGCCTTCTTAGTAGGTGGGTCATGGTGTGTTGTGGTTTGATTTGCATTTCCTTGATGACTAATAATGTTGAGCTTCTTTTCGTGTGGCCATTTGTTATCTTTTCTTGAGAAATGCCTATTCAGATCCTTTGCCCATTCTTAACTGGGTTATTTGTCTAATAGTCGTAGTTCTTTATATATTCTAAATTCAAGCATATAATTTTCAAAAATGTGCTCCCAGTTGTGGGTTGTGTTTTCATTTTCTTGATGATGTCCTTCGAAGCACAAAAGTTTTGTTTTGATGATGTCCTGTATCTTTTTGTTGTTGTTTGTGGTTTGTGTTATATTTAAGAAACCATTGTTAAATCCAAGTTCACAAAGATTTCTCAGTTTTCTTTGAGTTCTCTAGTTTTAACTCTAACATTTAGGTCTTTAATTCATTTTGAGTTAATTTTTGTATATGGTATGAAGAAGGGGGCCAATCTCACTATTTTGCATGTGGATATCAAGTTGTCTCACACTAAGATTTGTTGAAAAAACTATTTTTTGCCCGTTGAATTGTCTTGGCAACCTTGTCAAATCAATTGACTATAAATGTGAGGATTTATTTCTGGGTTCTCATTCTATTTGGTTAATTTTTTTTTTTTTAATCTTCAACCTGGGTCTATACTGTCTTTGTTACTGTAGGCTTGTGGTAAATTTTGAAATTAGGAAGGTTGAATCTTCCAGTTATCTTCTGCAAGATTGTTTTGGATATTCTGAGTTGTTTGACCATATGAAACCATTGAACAATTGACCTAAACCATGACCACATGGACCATTAAAATCCATATAAATTTTAGGATCATTAACTCAAAATGGGTGAAAGACCTAAATGTATTAGCTAAAATTATAAAACTCTTAGAAGTCATAGAGAAAGCTTGATGATATTAGATTTGGCAATTATTTCTTAAATATGACACTATAAAAGCACAGGCAAAAAAGAAAAAAATGGGTATATTGGGTTCTGTCAAAATAAAAAATTTTTCTACATCAAAGGACACTATTAACAGAGTGAAAATGTAACCCACAGAGTGGGAGAAAATATTTGCAAATCATGTGTCTGACAAGTGATAAATATCCAGAATATATAAAGAACTCCTTTAATTAACAACAAAAAAATAAGTAACTCAAAAAATAGTCAAAGACCTTGAGTAAACATTTCTCCAAATAAGATCATAGATGGTCCAAGAACAACACAAATGACACATGAAAAAATATTCACCATCACTAATCACTAGGGAAATGCAAATCAAAACACAATGAGATACCACTTCATACCCATTAAGACAGCTATTATCAAAATGAAAGAATAAAATCTTTAGAAAGCAACAACTGGTGGCATGAATGTAGAGAAATTGGAGCCCTTGTGCATTGCTGGTGGGAATATAAAGTGGTACAACCACTGTAGAAAACAATATGTCAATTGCTTGAAAAATTAAACATAGAATTACTATATGATCCAGCAATCTCACTTCTGGATATATACTCAAAAGTTGAAAAAAGGGTCTTGAAGAAATGTTTGTACACCTGTGCTCCCAATGGTGTTATTCCTAGTGTCCTAAAAGTAGATGTGAGCCAAGTGTTCATCAGTGATGGATGTGAAAACAAAATGTGGTATAGATGTACAATGGAATATTACTTAGCCTTAAAAAGAAAGGACGTTCTGACAAATGTTTCAACATGGATGAACCTTGAGGACTTACACTAAATGAAATGTCAGTCACAAAAGAGCAAATACTGTGTGATTCCACTTACATGAGGTACTTATAGCAATAAATTCATTGAGACAGAAACCAGAAAGGTGGTTGACAATGGATGAGGAGGGGAGTGAGTGGGGAGTTAGTGTTTTAGGGGAACACAATTTGAATTGGAGAAGATGAAAAAGGTTCTGGAGATGGATGATAATGATGATTCCACAACAGTGTGAATATACTTAATGCATAGAACTGTACACTTAAAAATAAAGTTGTAAATTTTATGTTATATATATTTTTCTATAATAAAAAAAGGTAACTTCAAAAAAAACCATATTTTTTAGGATCACCTTGTCAATTTCAGCAAGAAGCCCTCTGGGATTGTTAGACATTGTACTCAATCTGTAGATCAGTTGGGGAAGTATTGCCATTTTAAGAATACGTAGTCTTTCAATCCTTGTACATGGAATGGCCTTTTATTTAGGTCATTTTTAGTTTCTTAAAACATTTTTTTGTAGTTTAAGAGTATAATTTTATAGTTCTTTTGTTAAAATATGCCTAAGTATTTTAGTTTTTTATAAATGCTATTATAAATGGAATTGTTTTATTTTCAAGTTACTTATTGCCTGTGTTTGGAAATATAATTTTTTGGGTTTATTTATTTTGCATCCTGCAACTCTGCCAAACTTAATAGTTTTAATAGAGTTTCAGTGAATTTCTTGGATTATCTATGACAAGGTCATGTCATCTGCAAGTAGGGTTTTACCTTTCTAATCTAGAGCTTTTCATTTTATTTTTCCTGCCTGGTTGCCTTGGCTAGAACTTCCAGTGCAGTGTCTGATAGATGTGGAAAGAGGTGTCTTGTCTTGTTCCTGATCTGAAGGGGAAAGCATTCCTTTTCACCATTAAGTCTGATGTTAGCTGTGATTTTTCTCAGATGCCTTTTACCAGGCTGCGGGAGCTCTCGTCTATTCCTAGTTTGTTGGGTGTTTTTGTCATGCTTTTTCTACATATATTGAGATGATCATGTGTTTTTGTCCTTTAATCTGTTGATAGGGTGTATTGTGTTATTTGATTTTCAGGTGTTAAGTCAACCTTACATTCCTTACTTATCCAGGGAATGTGACCCTTTTTATGTATATCCAGATTCAGTTAGGTAGTATCTTTTTAGAAGTATTTTTGTTATATTCATAACAGGTATCAATCTGTATTTTTTTTCTTGTGTTATCTTTGGTTGTCTGGCTTTGGGAGTGATACTGGCCTCCTAGAATAAACTGGGAAGTTCTCCTGTTTTTTTTTTTTTTTTTTTGTCTGGAAGAGTTTGTGAATGTTGGTGTTCTTTAAATGTTTGGTAGAATTTAGCAGTGAAGCCATCTGTACCTGAACCTTTTTTTGGTGGGTAGTTTTAAAATTACTAATTCAATCTCTTTATTTGTTATGGGTCTATTAATATTTCTATTTGAGTCCATTTCAGTAGATTGCACCTTTCTAGGAATTTATCATTTCATCTAATTTAACTAAATCATTTGCATGGAGTTCATATATTTTCTTGTATTTCTCTTGTTTCTGTATGTTAATATTATATCCTGAAAATCATTTAATAGTAATATAGACATATTCTGCATACTGAGTCCCCATAGTTGATTTTATTTTAATATAATATAAAGGAATACTTTTAGTTTTAAAACCTCAGAGTTGCCTTGTATTCTTAATGACTTTGCATGTAATTGTAATTGTTGAAGTGAAATGTTATTATTAAAACATCTCAAAAAGAGCATTTTAAGCTTAGTTTACTTCTTGTGGCTTTATTGATTTACAGTAATTGGCCATGGTAATAATTTTTAATGTAGCCTGTATGCAAATGTTTTGTTATTAACTCAGAACACTGAATGCTCTGTATCAGGATATGAGAAGAAATTAGTAGCGTTAGTCAAACTAGTCATCTCTTTATAAAATCTCAATCTTAAAAGTACCACATGCAGTCATGTGTCTTGATTTTAGTATTATCCTAAACAAGGCTAGTATTCTGTTGATTGTAATATATTTATAGTTGGGCCTACTAAAGAGAACATTTTAAATTTAGCTCTTAAATTCCTACATGAAATGCTGGTTATTTTTTAATAGACTATTTTTTAGAGCAGTTAGATATGTTCACAGCAAAATTGAGCAGAAGACACAGAAATTTCCCATGTACTCCTTACACCCCATATATACACAGCCTCTTCCATTATCAACATCTCCACCGGATGGTATATTGGTCACAATTGATGAACCTGCAAGGATGCATCACTGACTTGCAGAGCCCACAGTTCACACTAGGGTACATTCCCAGGGATTGTACACTTTATGGGTTTGGACCAATGTAGAATGACCTGTATACACCATTATAGCAACATGCAGAGTGTTTTCCCCTGAAAACCCTCCGTGCTCTGCCTGTTCATCTCATTCTCCCTGAAACCTTGATTTTTAAAGTTTAATTTTAAAATGAGCTTATATTAAGACCTCAGAATTTTACTTTACACCAATCATTTCAGCCCATTCCTTTTAATTGAAATTATTAGGAAATACTTCTAATAAAATAAATTCATCAGTACTGCACTTTAGAATTCGAGTCAGTGATTTTATTTTAATCTGCAGAGTCCACCATTTTCCCATCAGTCTTTTACTTATACCAAGAGGAATTTTCCTTTTTTAATTTTATTGCAATATAGTTGACATATATCATTATAGAAGTTTCAGGTGTACAACATAATGATTTGATATGTATATGCTGTGAAATGATCATGACAATAAGTCTAGTTAACATCCATCACCACACATAGTTACAAAATTTTTTTCCTTTTGATGAGAACTTTTAAGATTGACTCTCTTAGCAACTTTCAAATATACAATACAGTAATATTAGTGTAGTCACCTTGCTGTACATCTTCTCTCTGTGACTTCAAAGATGTTTCTTTCCCCAGAAAAATTGTGATCACATCATGCTTATTCTCAGTCCTATTCATTTATTTCCAGCTTGATTTATCAAAGAAAATTGCACCCTGGTCATTTTTACCTTCAACATGGAAGTGGCCGAGTCTGCATTTGGATCGTTGCCCTATTTGAGGGTGGATTCTTGCGGGGCAATCTTCAACTAACTGTAATCAGCACTGAAAGAGGAAGGTCTCCTGGCACCGCTTTAGGACCCCTTTGTCTGTTTAATCTCTGGGTTTTTATGAGAATATATATTTGTTTAATAATTCTAAAAACGATCTAAATAATCAGAAGTCTTTATGTCATTAAGAGTATCAATTTATTGACAGCAGTCTTTACCAACCTTCAGCTTTCTACGAAAGTGACTTGTTTCTCTGTTTATGGCTGACTCTCTGCTTTCTTTTTCCCTGCAGTGCATTCCACTCTTTGTTGAACTTGTTTTGGAGAGACTAACTCGAGGGGTGAAAACGAGTGAGCTCCGCACCATGTGTCTCCAGGTCGCAATCGCCGCCTTATACTACAGCCCTGAGTTGCTCCTGCATACTTTAGAGCAAATTAGGTTGCCTCACAATCCTGGACCCGTAACTGTTCAGTTTATAAATCAGTGGATGAATGATACAGACTGTTTTCTTGGGTATGTGTCTTTTGGATTTTATACTGCATTTCTGTTCCTAGAAAGTTGACTTTGATATGTACATATAGTAGCATATAGTAAGTGATTTTCATATCTTGAGTTATTTTTACTGTACTGTTAACGTAATTTTAATTTTTAGAGAATTAAAAATATGTTTCAGGACGGTAGAGTCCTTCTCCACTTGTTTTTGACTTGTGTGTATTGTTGAAGCTCTAGGCAACAAGAATTAAGTGTCCGTTGCAGTTGCATGACTGTTAAGTGTCTCGGGGTAAAGACATTCTAAAAGGAGCCAGGTTTCAAAGGAGGGTAGCAGTCTGGTGAAGATACACTGTTCTGTCCCAAGATGTGGAACTCTGCAGATCTCAAGGGAGCCTGTTCTCAGGTGTGAGCAGGATTGTTGGCTGTGGCCCAGGCGCTGCCCTGTGAGGAGAGGTTGGCCTTACGTGAATCCCTCTCCTAGTTTTCAAACCTAGGAAAAAGTGAGATCCCAAGTTAGATGTCTGCTTTAAGTGACCCAACACTTACCAGGGACTGTATAATGCTAAAATTTGAGCTGAATTAGTTTGTTTAAGCCATTAGAAGTAACTAGTGTTATTTTTAAGTCTTGTAAGATATCATTTAGAGGAATTTGCTGAGGGTAAAAGACTTCCAGCAGGAGGTAGTTAGGACCCTGCTGAGTGGTGGGTAGGTGACGGGCCTGAATTAGCATGGTGGACTAGCAGTGGGGCAGCATGTCCACAAGCTGCTGTGTGTATTCTACTTTTCCTACTTGTAGGAGACTTGAATTAGTTCCTGATTTAGATTTTCTATTAAGGGCCTGAAAGGAAGAACATACTTGAAAAAGAAATGTGCTTAAAGTTATTGAGGATTTGGAGGTAGAGGTCTGTCGCCCATATTTATGTAGTTGCTGTGCTCATCTTGTGGTTAGCATCTGTCTGTAGCTTTCCCGAGGTGGGCAGAGGTGGGCAGCCACCTCAGCGATCGCTCAGACTGGGCACGGTGGCTTGTGCTTCCTTAGATTGTTCTGGGCCCTGCTCGATCATCATCTGCCCTGCTGTGACCCTGTTGACATCCAGTGACTGCTACTCGTTAGTTAGGGGCTCCAGGGATGAGAGAGCCACAACTGGACGACAGGTCCTGTGGCAGCAGGCTGCTTGGGCCTTCATGATGTGAGTGAGTCAGCCAGCAGTGTGCATGTGAAGACGGACAGAAGCTTGTGAGACGGTCATCACGGTTTGATTCTGTTACTCTCATTTTAAACACATTGAATCACTGCCACTTAGTTTTTTGTTCATGCCTGGAATTTTAAGAGTGTTTTACCCATATAGCAGTCTTTTCATTCTTAATATTTTTAGTTTTGAACAACTTAGAAGAAACATTTAGTTAAAAAATGTGTGTAATATATATTGGTCAAATTTTTCCCTTAGGAATTAAATTTTCCTTATCCTGTGTTATAGCAGAGGATATTTAATAGATTTGCTTATACCCATTAAATTCAGCTTATTAGATGTTGAGTTTTTGAAATAGCTTTTGACACCTTGGGTTAGTGTATGCTGTGTGTGCCAAGAAACCTTGCTGGCCAGGCTAATGAAGACCAACTCTAAGGGGCTCTTCCTTTTCTCTATTGGGTAGGAACTTCATGCTGTCAAATACAGGTTTCCCTGCTTTAATAAAAATTGTTACATTACACCAAGGCCCAGATGTAACATTTATATTAATCATGAATTGATATTACAGCAAGATTCACCATATTAGTTGTAGACTCCCATAGGCTTTTGAAGATAATATTTGGCACTTTTTTTCCCCTTATGATTTCTAGGCATCATGACCGGAAGATGTGTATAATAGGACTGAGTATCCTCTTGGAGTTGCAGAATCGGCCTCCTGCAGTAGACGCCGTGGCCGGGCAGATTGTGCCCTCCATTCTTTTCCTCTTCCTTGGCCTGAAGCAGGTCTGTGCTACTAGACAGTTGGTAAACCGGGAAGACCGCTCAAAAGCAGAGAAAGCTGATACGGATGAAAACGGTAAGGTCTTATAATTGCAGTGAGTGCTAAAATGGATCTTTATCTGAGCACACATTTAATTTGAATTTTAGTCCATTTGGAGTCACTAAACTGGTTAACATTCTTTGGCCTGTTGCACATTTAGCAAACAACTTTTTTGAGTTTGGTTGACTTAATTATATCACGGGATATAAATTTAGATTTGTTCACATTTTGACACTTAAAAGGTTTATTTTGAGCCTGATGAATGTTTTTACATGCCAGGAGATATGTTTATAATATAATCAAATGGTCTTGACACTACGTGAGCAACCCAGTATTTCATTTTCTTGTCTGTGCCCGCAGTCTCAGTGAAGGCAGCGGCTGTGAATTAAGTGAACCATTAGATTGAAGCAGAAGTGTCAGGAAAGGGGTGCAGTAGATGGTGCCTGATTTTTGTGTGTAATGGTTCTTAGGTGACTCATCATCACAAATTATAATTGGGAGATATTATGCCTTAAATATTAAACTTAGAATAAAGTACATAAGTGAAGGTGATTTGCTCAGTTAAGAGACGGAATAAGATTGTTAGAATCAAGAATACTGGAACTTTGTTTTATTTAATGATACTGCAAATCTACTTGCTAGGGCCCAGGAAGTAACTTTCCCAACTCCAAATGGAGTTTTACCTCCTCTGGTTAAAAGCAGATACTTGTTTAACTGAGAAGAATCAGACCTTTTCCTGGAAAACTCTATTTTTGATGCTCAATTCTATGATTTAAGCATGTGTAGGTTTAAAACATTTCGCATTTCACTGGCGTGTGCAGTTTGTTCGTATACAAGGAATGGTGGTACTCTTCCCCACCTGCAGCACAAAATACCACCTCTAATCAAGTTTGATTTTCTGAATTCTGTGTTTGCAATAATGCTTCTTCACTAGAACCTTTTTTCTAAGTATATGCCAGCAATTATAGATTTTTTTTCTTTGTCAATGTAATGTTCTCTTTCTCTGTTGCTTTGCTCACTATTGACTTATAACTAATATGACTTGAGGGAAAGTTTTCTAGTAATATTCCAGACTTTCCTATTGAATTTCTTACTGAAGCATAGAATGCTTAACTAGCAAAGATATTTCTTGCTATCTTTCTAATTATATCTTTGCCTTATCTGTATCATTTCTTGCCTTACTCCTAAAACTACCTTGCAGTTTAATCCAGATGCTTTAGTATATGTTGTGTTTTATAGAACTGGGTTGTGATTAATACTGCGTAGTTTGGGTTTACTCTAGGTTTTTCCTCTTAGGTTGATTTTGTTTTGCATTTACTATTTTCTGGTTATTTACAATACTGGCTCACTGCTTGGAACAGACCAGCCCTGAAAATAGGCACATAATCCATGGTGATACACAATTCAGCTCTCAGTTTTTCAACCCATATGTAGCTAACCATTTTTCCTTGTATTTCTCTATTTTTCTGTTTCTGTTAACAGAAATGATTTCCTCATGTCAGCACTTCTACCCACTTAGTTAATTAAGAGACCCAAATTCTCAGTGGGAGGTCAATGTTATTTAAAACATGGGCACTGATGGCACATTTCATATCTTTTCTTTTGGAAAAAAAATCAACTTGGGCATCTATAGTTAAATAATGTTTTTTATATCAATGAATATGAGGCAGACATAGCAAAACAGTGTGCTGCTCACCCGGGCTCCCGATTCGGGGTGGTTGGAAATTGTTTTCAGTGAGGATAAGGTAATTTTCAATTTAGTAAACTATAACAAAGATGAAGATTAATTTTGTGATTTCACATAAAATTATGTAGTAGTTTTTCTTCTTCCAGAGTGTCATTTTATAGTTTTTGTTTTCTTTGTGGAATTTTATATTTTGTCCTTACGTTTTCTGATTCCTTTTAAATACTTAACGGGTCCACAGAGGAGCTCTCAAGTGATGAAGAGGAGACGAATGCAACTGCTCAAGCGATGCAGTCCAGTGGTGGGAGAGACCAAGATGAGGAGGAAGACGATGGCGACTGGGATGAAGAAGTCCTGGAAGAAACGGCCCTTGAGGGATTTAGTACCCCTCTTGACCTTGACAGCAGTGTGGATGAATATCAGTTTTTTACACAAGCTCTGCTAAGTAAATCTTTACTCCCTGAACCTTCAGATATTTTGTCTAAACTCTTTCTTCATTTCTTCCTGTTAGAAGTTGTCTTGGGATCTGCCTAAAACTGGTTTAGATTCCTTTTAAAATGTATTGTTATTATAGAAATCCCCAAATATGCACAAAATGAGAGAGACTAGCAAATGGCATATCCATCCTCCATCCCAGCAGCCCTCATGAATGTAAGGTGGCAGGTGAGCCTGCAGGTTATCCTTACAAGAGTAATTCAGGCAAGAGTATCTACTTAGATTGAACGTCTGTCTCCTCCTGGTATAAATGGGCAAGCATTTTTACAGAAATGTGTGAAGCACCTTGCATATGTTGCCTAAAAATTATGGCCATAAATTTGTCAATTCCTGATTCCCGTGTGAAGGGGCATGGAGTCCTGCTGCCGTGAGAGAGACACTTTTTATACATAGGCAGTATGCCAATTTTGTGCAGCAAAGGATGTTATAAATTCAGTTACAGGGCTCATAAAAGATTGGGAGAAAATATTTGTCACATACATTTCATAGGCTTAAGATCCACAGTTTATAAAGGCCTACAAATGAATAAGACCAATAGCCAAGTATAAAAATGAGAGATGTAAATGGAAAATTTACAGAATTAAAAATAAGTAATAAACCAATGGAAATATTTAGAAAATCGTTACAAATAAATCAGAATGAAAAATCCCACTAATACAGATCATTTGTTTTATAGTTACATAATATTTCTATGACAGTATCATTTATTTCCACTGATAGACATATAAGAGTATTTCCAGGTTTTTTGCTGTTATAAGCAATTTAAAGTGAACATCCTTGTGAATAAAATATTTCCAACAAGGCAACGCTAGTATAATGTATTGGCATTTGTGGCACTAATGGGCGTTACAAAGCCCATTAGTGAAGATGTAACCATCTGTGTTTTACTGAAATTTAGCAAGAATTAGACAGAGGTAGAGTTCGGGGAATATTTTTCAAAGCATGGGGAAATAAGAGCATAAATGTGAAGACGGGACCATGGAGGTGTGCTCCAAGCACGGCTTCCAGATTTGGGTTTCATGATTGGCAGGGACCTTTTAGGTCTTGGGTGGGATTTCAGGATACATATTTTGAAAACGCTCCTCAAGTTATAGGCACCGAGCTTTGGAGCAGCATGGGGACCACTGCTTAAAGTCTCTGTGAGGTAATAAAATGGGACTGAATTGCAGCAGCCTTACTTCTGGCCTGAGGTCGTCCTATCCTGTTCTACTGGAGTGTTACTGTGAGACAGTGAATGTTTTCCTGTACGGAGGTGACCTTGGGGACATGGTAGTTCTTTAGGGGAGGTAATCGTAGCAATGTGTGTGAAGAACTGGGGGTGTGGGCCTAGACACAGAACCAACCAAGTGTTAGGAGATTATTAGTTTAGGAGTTATAGGGCCCTGGAGTGGGAAGATGGCATTTGGTGGCGAGAAGCATAGGGGTGAAAGACTTCCGGAAAGCATCAGAGGACTGGATGTGGAGAGGGCGTGGTTAGAGGTGTTAGGAATTTACGGTGGTTAATTGGTAGAACTAGTGATGGAAATGCGGAGATAGAGTTTGGGAGATAAAATGTCAAATTTGGTTTTAGTTGTGCTGAGTTTGAGGCCAGCTGCACGTATGGAAGAGTCTGGGAGGCTTAGGGAGTGGCTGTGTGCAGGGTACGAATCGAGTCCTTGGTGTAGGGGTGACGCTGAAGCTGTGGGCAGTATGGGTCCCAGGGGAAAGCTAACAAACGAGAATGGGTATTTCCCTGGACCCGGATTTTAGGGAGCATTCATAGTAAAACTGCAGGAAGAAGAGCAGGGGTGGTGAAGGAGGTGGAGAGCTAGGCGAAGCAGAGAGATGCAGGGCCCTGGCCTTCCTCTGATAGCCCCACATAGTCGGATACTAAGCGGGTCCTCAGAAGCCATCCTTTGCTGGCAAGTTCCATCCCCTGGTGTGTGTTGAATGAAGTGCTGTATTCTGTCTCTTACACTCTGCAGTCATTTCATTGTGACTTGATTGTGTCACTGCCCTTCTTTGAAATAATAATTGTCACTGGGCTCCCTTATTTTTTCTTCCTCCTCCTCCATGCCTCCAAAATGCCACAGCCGTGCAGAATCGTGATGCTGCCTGGTACCAGCTGTTGGTGGCCCCGCTCAGCGAGGACCAGAGGACGGCGCTGCAGGAGGTGTACACGCTGGCCGAGCACCGGAGGACCGTGGCAGGTCAGCCAGGGGGATTTCCAGACCGGAAAGCGTGTGTCAGTGCCTCTAGTCAGCCTTGTTTATTGAGTCTTATGGCACCTAAATACTGTTTTTAAAATTGTTAGAAGCCAACCTTTCAAGGTAATAAGGAATTAGCATTGTATGATCTTTTTAATCATTCATGGTACCTTAGCTCTGTAACACTGTTAATATGTGTCTTAGTGGTACCATGATTCACATCCTTACCCTGTTTTGGAGCCGGAGGTAGGCTGTAAAGGTTGGGATGAGCCTTACCGAGGGGGG